GTTTTCCATGCCCAATTCAGAGTGGCGTAGACAGAGAGGTGGCCAACCCTTGACTTGGCAGAGGAGTATGAAGGAGATCACGAAACGCTTGGGTGCTGTCGTGCCTACTCGCTTTCTAGGATGGGGACCGCGTGATCCTCACTATGCCTGGTTGGAGACACTGCAAGATATGGCTGCCAACCAAGTCAGTGGCGGGTAGTAACCTAACTGTGAAAGCGGTTGAAAATAAAGGTTGACGACATGGCAACCAAACTGGTAAAGCGGTTGAAGATAAACGTTGAAGGGATGGTAACCAACAAGGTCATGGTAACTATGATTTAAGAAAGTGTCAAGGTGAAGCGGTCTTCTTACTTTCCCGAGAGCACACAACTTTGCATTGTCGGCTATGGTTCTGTCATGAGTTCCACCGGAACGTGTATGTTGTTCATGGGAAGCAACTTGGCTAAAATGTGTTGAAGTGAGTAAACTTGGTCTATGCTTGTCCCATGTCAATAGGTTTTCATTTAGGAGCATATGCCAGCAGTTCGAATATTGAGTGCGTTATTCTTTTCTTTGTTTCAGCTGGGTTATGCAACATATAGAAAATCTCCCTCGAGAGCTTTGTTGCAAACCGGAGCCATTTGTTGTACTTTCCGGCTTAGACATTGAGAACAGTTCCGTGCATCGATCAATATGGCGGGCTTTTACTGCTAATCGTAGCCGGGACCGTGATCCATTCAAGTTTCGATGCCGTCCTATTAACCATATGTTTCCTAAACCAAAGTTGAAGGTAAATTTTTTTTATCAATACTTCTATTCTGACTAGTCTTTGGTGTAATCAGCGACACCAGTATGAAACACTAGTGACTGTCGAAAACATCTGAAGATCCTTAAGTATTGCTTTCTTCCTTGAGATTCATCGCTTTATGGGCATTTGGACTCTCTTCTAGTAACTCGCTGAAGAATGATGGGCTATGTGAATGACTGTCCTGATTTGTAGGCCTTGCATTACTCCAAATTTTGTGCGCTCTATATGGGATTAAGATGTATGGCTCCTGGCTTTAGATGCCGTCCCAACGAAGGCTCATCCTGAATGTGACCGCTGGTATGATATGGAATTAGGTCGTTATTAACAAGGGTTCAAGGTATTCCAAGAGATTGATTTAAGTTACAGCTAGCCGAATGAGCGGACCAGCATATTTCATTGGTCATTGCCTTAGATTTTTCGGAAAATCATGTATTAGCGGGATTGGAAAAGAGCGCACTATGCAGAAATAAATGACTTCTCATCTTTCCCCTACTAATCTAACCGTAATATATCGACCAAGAAGACGCAAAAAAAACTGAAAATCCACTACCTGGGCCGTGCCTCTTTGGCTAGGTGAACACTGGACGACTAAACCCAATAGCGATCCTATGAATAGTTTTGAGAAACCCGTCAACCTCGGGCCAAGATGGCCTAAGTGGTTAGAGCGCGAATTTGCCGACCGGAAGGTTCGTCGTTCGAACCCGACCTCTGCCTCTCGACTTCCCCTGTCTGGGATTGGGCAACCTGGATGTATCCCAGCCCTCGTGCAACCTTCGGGTGGCATGGCAGTCAGGCACCGAAAGGGTGCTACTTCTGAACGAACAAGCGACCGAAAGGGTGCTACAGCTGAACGAACAAGCAAAAACAAACTTCAACCTGGTGCCTGCAGTCCTTTGGTTGCACCACTAATGGATGAGCAGTTTGGGGAACAGGTATTCGCAACCCAAATTTGGCACACGTCAAACCTAGTTAAGAGAAACCAAATAAACTTAAGTGGGTTGTTGAACGGTTCACAGTTCTCCTAGAATACTGCTGTCGATAGCCTATGCGGTCCGCTGCAAGTTTGACAAAAATGATAGCATTGGCATCCTAACCAAGTGTACTCAGCTGCTCGATTCGATGCGCTCTTTTGAATTCGGCCACCAACTGATCTGTACAACAAAACGGTCTTTTTGGACTCCGAAAATATCATGGGATGTGTACTCTCCACGGAGGGCAGCTGTCTAATCCGTCAGAGCAGTTCATCTTTACACAACCACCAGTTTTTATGGTGTAGCCATGGGAAGTCTAGCTGCGTCTAGCTAAAGGGGTCCCCGTGTAGCCAGTAATGTCAGTTTCGATATTCCATTGTTTTATCACTAAGGGATCTGCTGATCATTTTCTCCCTTTCGGCGACCCCTCCTCAAACACTTTACAGCCAGCGGGGGCGTACGACTGGTTCCTTCCTAAAGGCATACTGAAAACCGGCTGGATGCGCAAACACTTGGAGGAAATCCCTGCCATGGTTGCCGTATTCTTTGACCTTGACTGGGACGATCGAAATTGGGATGAGCGATCTGTTGAATGCGCCCAGCGTGTAGACACAGTCCGGTATGCACATACGTTTTACACACTAATCCACATCTTCTGGCCTACAGGTCCAAACTGGCGGGCCGAGATATCAAATTGGTTGTCATCCTGATTCAGAAACGTGCCCCACTGCCTCTTGGCGAGGATTTGAACGCAATGGAACGTGCCCAAACGCTTTGCACCAAATGTGACCTGCCTGGGAAAAACTTGTTTGTTTTGTCCCACACCAATCTGTTATACGGATGCATTACAAGGTAAGTACTACTGGAAGTCCATGTAGTTAACACCTTTTCTGACTTCCTTCGCCGATTTTCTGCCATTAGTTTCACAAATTAGAGTACGTACTTAAAAAATTTCCAGAGGAATTTAGGTAGGGAGATGGCATCTCGAATAAGACTAGTGGAATTGAACTATGTAAAAGATACTTGTTGGGTGATCACCAATCCTCAGAAAAATCGTTCAGCTGCAACACCCTTTTGGCGCCTAGCTGCCGTGTCACAAAGTATTCACCAGAGTTAAGATACTGCCAAACATAGACAGGGGGGGGGGCGAGATGGCCCAAGTGGTTAGAGCGAGAATTTACTGACCGGAAGGTCCGTGGTTCGAATCCGACCTCCGCCACTCGACTTCCCTGTCTAGGCTCGGGCAACCTGGCAGTATCCCAGCCCTCGTGCTTCCTTCGGGTGGCATGGCAGCTAGGCACCGGAAGGGGGCTACAGCTGAACGCCTTTTTCTAAACATAGACAGGAGCAGCCCGATATCGGGATTGGGTTCGAACCACGAACCTTCCGGTCAGTAAGCTCGCGCCTTAACTACTGAGTCCTGACAGCATACTGGCATAGGCTTTGAAAATCCTTTTGGAGTTCGGGTCCCTCGCAGCCCCCCCACCCCCGAAAACTTTAGGTTGGGAATAGATTAGTTTATATTTTGACATTTACGCAAATCGCCTTCTTTGTAGCTGAGCAAATCAATATATGAACTATCAGTTTGTGAACCAGATTCGGGCGGTCCAAATGGCGCGCATGATGTCACTTCTTAATCGGATTGTCTGCTTGTATGTGCTGGGTTGACTAGGATTCCTATGGATGCTGGGTAGCTAAACACTTCAAGGAAGTTATTCTGTTGGCTCTCTTAATCCAACATGGTTTTTTAAGATGCATGGGCATCCTGCTTTTGAGCATTCTGTTTAGACAGTTGAAAACTTGTGCAATGAAAGTGAGGACTGGTTGCTGTGTGAGGCGCCCCTTAGAGGAAGAAAGTTTTTTGCTGATAAATACGTGAAAAGCGTTCACTTGCTGCAGACATCCCTGTAGATCCCGTTTGATGCTCTATGTCTTCTCATTGAACAAGGGCCACCTGCGGACAGAAACTCCTTAAAATTTATAACATGTCTGTCTAAACTTTCCGGTCGAAGGGTCGCGATGGTTGTTCTGTTAAACTACACGTATGGAGATCGTTGTTGGCTCTGCAAAGCCTGGTCTTGTATTTTATAACACAAGGCCATGTAGCGCGTTTCCGATAAATTTGGGGTTGAGGTTCTACCTTCTGCCACAGCGCTCCCAGTCGTCTTGCCATTGTGGCTTGGAAGCTTGGATTTTTGGTCATAATAAACCCATTGTTCTATTGGTCGACCCTCAGTCCATTCGCGTTTGATGCTTAAAAGATACGAAACCATTGCCACTGCTTCTTTGATTAGGGCTGTATAAAACATTCGTTCATATGCATACTCGAGCGTCCAGCAGTATAAATCTAATAAATCTATTAAATGGGTCTTTGGTTGCTGGATAAAATTAAGTCTGTTGTGGGATACAAACGGCTTCGGTGCTTCGAATAAGCGCTTTGAAATGTCACTTTATTCTGATGGCTGAGTCATGTGACGACCGTTGCTTTTTTGGCATAGTTCAAAATAGCGGCCTGAAATCTATAGAAAGAAGTAGATCTAATTGGAAGAACTTTGTACGCTATCACTCTCCTAGTTGAGCTCTGTGTGACCCTCCCTCTTCTTACAGGTTGGAGAGTGAATTTCGTGATATGGCAGCCAATTACTATCACCAGCGAGCAAAACGCGTGAAGGCACACAAAGATGGGTTGAACAAGGCCAGTCATCAGGTGCGTTTCCCCGTATACACTCTGTCACCCATCGTTTATACTGTATTTTTTCCGTGATCAAACAGACCCATTGCTCGCATCAGTCACTTAACCTCTTGAGCTGTTGCGGCGAAACACGCAGCAAATTGCGTTCGTTAGGACTGATCATATATGATTATTCATAATCATTCGTCCGGTGTCTTCTCTTCAGAAGCTGCGCTGGTCTTTAAGCACAGTCGAGGTGCTTAGTATGACGGTGGGACTGACGTGATTTATCTGTTTATAATGTTCGGGGAGTCGAGGTGCAGAAGTAAGGAAAACAAATCGTTCAGCTGTGACACCCTTTCAGTGCCTAGCTGCCATGCTACCCGAAGGGAGTACGAGGGCTGGGATACTGCCTGCCAGCCTCCTCCTAGACAGAGGAGGTCAAGATACAGAGCTTGGGTTCTAACCACGGTCAGTCGATTTGTGGTGTAACCATTGAGACATCTCGCCCCGATCTCTGCATCTCGACTTATCCTGATTAGGTTTGGGTGACCTTGCAGTATCCCAATCCTTGTGCTTCCTTCAGGTGTCATGACAGGTAGGCACCGAAAGAATGTTACAACTGAAAGATATCTATGATGTGACTGTAAGAGATTGAGGACACCGAACATTTCGGTTCGGTGTTTTGAACTCGTTTAACGACGAGTGTCTGTGATGATCATACCTCGCATCCGTCCTGTTATTCTTTGTTTTGTGGTCTTATGCAGTCTTGGTTTGCTTGCGCTTCTTGTTACCGTTACTTGTTAACAGTTTGGCGTTTGTAAAGTCCTCGGACCATCAATGATGTGAAAATCTCAAAAACGGCGCTTTCGATTGATTTGCTTCCATGACATTCTTCAATACTGTTGTACTTTTTCCAAATAGAACGCATTTCCACGAGCGGCGCACACGGAAGCTTGTGGGCGCGTGGACCTCAGCTGGTGCAGTCGAGTTGCATCGTTGGTTCGACACACCGGTGATTAGTTGATGCGGCTTATTAATTTCCCTACGTGCGTATAGTTAGTCAGCTTGTCCAACTCGACTCTATGCATATCTTCTATGCTTTGATCACAGTGAAACGCTGAGTAACTTCAAGACATTGTGTTTTATGGACAAAAATAAAATAAAATCGTTCGGCTGTAACACCCTTTCGGTTCGTGACTGCTATTCCACCAGAAGGACGCACAAGAGCTGGGATACTGTCAGATTCCCCAAGCCTAGACAGGGGAAATCGAGCGACGGAGGTCGGGTTCGAACCACTCTGACCACCGAGCCATCTCTCCCCCATTTTATGGACAGGTCAGTGTCACATTACCTACAGCAATACCTGAGTTGGAGCAAAAGTACACTCCGGCTTGGACACTCACTTAGTAAGTAACGTTATCGTCATAAGGCTTGTAGCTCACTAACTCAGTGCATCTATCGACCAACAGGATTTTGAAATCCAGCATCGAATCCACTAATCTTGTAACACCATCTTGAAAGTCCAAACTGACTCAATCAAACAACTCAAGCTGATTTAACCAGCGCGACGCCGCTTGCATACGCTGCGCATTAGATCTCCGATATCTGTTCTGTCGTGATATAACGATAAACAACCACAGCACATACTATTTTTGATTGTCAATTCAGGGACCATTGACTACATACTTTCAGCCAATCAAGAAAATGGAAAAGGCAGAAGCATGATTGAGACACCTAGTTTTCCCTTTGTCAGTGGAACTCGACGTTTATGGTCCGAACGTCACCCTGGATTGTCAGTTGATCCTGTTCCGGCTCAAACAACTTGACAGTAGCTCAGTCTTCAGGTTCCTTGGCAGAGCCGCATGGTATGGGTGACACGGTTAGGTGCTGATTGGGGATAGGGTATGTAGCTGCGGGAGCTGACAACTTAGTGCGTGAATGCAGCACTGTCGGTGGGCTGTTAAGTTGATGGGATTGGGAAAGGAATAGCTTGGATGCACGAGTGCCATTGAGGGCGCGACCGGGCCATGTTTCTAACCATTGATGCGGCCGGTCTCGGGGTCCCCATCCAGGAATAGGGCGATGACCAGCGCAGCTGAGTTTTCTGGTGATGGCTCTTATACTTCACTGCCAAGTCATTGTTTGACCGCCTCTGGATTGGTTAGTTTCGGTTACGCTTCTATCAGGGAAGACCGTGCGTGACTCAAGAGATTAAATGTCTTCCACGAACCTGTTACTCATCTAGTTGTTGTGACCGACAGTGGTAGTGAAATTTTTGAGGATAACATCCCTTTTTGGGGACGATGAAAGGCAGGCTGGGCGTCCTTTAGATGCGTTGACGCACCACTAAGAATATCGTTTACCGTTATGCGTTCATGTATTGTCGATATATTACTTGCTTTTATATGGTCGCTATTATTTCTAATCGGTGTACGTCTCTAATCCGCATTTCTTGGTCCACATTTTTGTTGTCCTCCGAGGTGGCTCAGTAATTGAGGCGCGAACTTACTGACCGAATGGTCCGTTGTTCGAACCCTGCCACTGCATCTCGACTGCTCCTGTCTAGGCCCTCGTGCTTCCTTTTGTTGGTATAGTAGTTAGGTATGAAAGCGTGCTAAAGCTGAACCATTGTTACTATTATTTGTTATTGTCCTTCGTATGACCAGTCCAACAGTCGACGAATCCCGATCATATCGACCTCTGTCATCCAATGTTGTCAGTTTTCTTACCAACGGCCTAATTCTCGTGTGGACATTTTTGTTAAGTTTGCTTGGGTTCGAGCCGCAAAGCACCCGGTTTTCTCAGTATGCAATCACATGTACAAGTGAACGAATACGCCAAAGTGTAATAGGCCGGTTCTTCCCTTTGGAAACGCTCTTGGGGTTTGCTTCTATTGTTCGCATGGAATGTTGCATGTTTTTGGGCAGTAGATTTCGCTAAATCTCATTCAACTGACATTTTTCATGATTCTTCACTAGTCAGCCAAACGACCACGTGTCAGTTCTGGTGATACCTCACAGCTTGCCACTGAACAGTTCACAATGTCAACTTACATCGGTCGTTTGTGCACAATCTCTTGTGAGGGAAAATTACTTTGATTTATTGAAGATTCGTCCGACAGAACTGACAAGTGTCCTTTTCACTACACGTTTGGTTGGTGCACCTCACACGTGAGAGTTTTAGTTGAAGTTCAACTGAATAAATGATTGATTGAACGATTGATTGGATGAACCAAATGCTAGACCCAGTTTACTTCGATGCACATAATTTTTAAAAGTTCACGTTGATTGGCATGGCAAGGTTGCATTAGAGCCCAGTGGAGATGATAGGTATAATACACGGCCTGATGTCAGTCTGAAGCTCCGTGTTAACATCCATACCACCTCTGTATGCATGTGTATTTCTTTTTACCAACTTGGCAGTCGATCCCGTTACGCGATCCAGTGTGCATAGATCAGTTGACTGTTCTTCCCCAATGGCGTGCTTCCTCTTGTTCTTCTAACACCCTACAGTTTCGCTTTGACAGTTGTTGCCGGGACGTGGCAACCCCGCATTCAGCAGAACGTGTATATCCGTGATAGTAATGACCAGTATTCCATGTTCTGGAGCAAATACCGTTTCTAGGGTATCGTCTCGTTCTGATGGGTTTTTGGTCTACCGAGGTCATCTTCTGGTCAGAATCGATAAAATGTTCCCTCCCAGGAAAGCTGCCGCATTCTGGGCATTGCTTACTAGGAAGTGCTTTACTGCACATATTTTTCAAGCGGACGCTAGACTATTTCAAACACCCCACTGTAAATCGGGTATCTTCCTCCATCTCCATCGTTTTACTTATCATTCTCTTACTCCGTTTGGCTTACTCCCAAAGCTCTTATTCGTTCGATACGAGTTCAAGATTGCCTTCTTTGGTGAGCTGAAACAGGACCAGGCTCTTGCTTTGAAGTGAGTCTCTTGTGTTTCGGTGAGCTTTTTTCCGATTCGCAAAAATTACCAATTTTCTATCCTATCCAGTCATATAGTTGTCCCCCTTTTGGCAAGCTCATGATTGCGTTATCCATTGTTGTCACGGATCTCGTACCTCCTGACGGCTCATAACCAGGGCCCGGAACATGTGTAGCTACACTTGTTTTCAGTAGCCGACATGCGCATTATATATTTTTTCGTATTTCACTCGTGTTTTAGCTTCAGTAGATTCTCGTTACGTTTCAAAGTTCATTGGGTTGTTTTTCCTTTCTGGACGGTTAATGAAAGTAGTTCTGGTCGTACAATTAAGCACTTTTGCTTTCCATCTAAGTTATTCCTTAATTTAGCCGGTCTATGCAACGACTTTTTACCCGGGAACAACGTCCTCTTTTTGATGAAGTAATCCATGCTACTTTTTTAGTTGACAAGTATCGCTTCTAGAATTATTGGTGCAAGGATGATCCCTAAATGAATGCATCAGCTTGATTGGCAGATAACACCCACTGTATTTCAAAAATGTGTACTATTTTCCTATGACTGTTTTTCATACTGAAGCGAGATAGCTCGGTGGTTACAGCACGGATTTACTGACCGGAAGGTCCGGGGTTCAAATCCTACCTCTGACCCCCATGTCTTCTATCTAGGTTTGAGCAACCTGACAGTACCCCAGTCCTCGTTCTTCCTTCGGGTAGCATGAAAGCTAGGCACCGAAAGGGTGTTACAGCTGAACGACCATCTTTTTTATGCATTGGGCTACCTAGTCGGCACTACCATCCAGGTTTCTCTGAATGATGCCATGGAGAATGCGTGCATTGACTGGTTAATGTGGCATACTATAAGGGAAGGAGTTACGGAAAGTTTCGGTGCCATGGATGTTGCCCTTCTTTCGGGATGGGGTACTGGTTGCAAGACAATTAAGCACCCTTGTTGCTGACTATATTATTGTTACAATTACTTATTATGTGGCTTGGAGTGGTGTACCCCAACCCACAGTAATGTGAATCCATGGAAAGCTCTGTTCGACGATTTGGCATCAGGAATTTTGTCAGAAAAGCCTGGTATCTGGTAAAGCTTTATTTGTGAAACAAGAATTGCACAACATGTTCGCACGATGGCGGTCCCCAATGAGGAAAATCGAACTAGTGTCATCTAAACGCAGCTGCACATCGTGATTCACTGGGCTTCGTGGGACCAGTCAACGGGGTCTGTGTCATCGCTTACTCCATGCAACCGTTGAGCGTTATTGTTGGGTTGGACGGGAAATGCTGAAAACTGAATCACGACTCCGTTGATGGTCCCTCCGAAATTCGCGCCTCTTTCATGTCATCAATAAATCTTGAGAGATCACAAGTGACGCTTTTTGAAGTATGAACCCACAAAATAGTTGACGTTTAGTAGTAATTCAATTACTTCAGCTATTGCAGCTCGAGTTAGCTCAGGTATGAACTTACTGACCCGGAGTTTCGTGGTTCGGAAGTAGCCCCGGCATCTCGGCTTCCCCCCTCTAAGCTTGGTCAACCTGAAGTGTCTCAGCCCTCGAGCTTTCTTCGGGTAACTCGGCAGCTAGGTGACGAAATGATGTTTCAGCCGAACGGTTTCTTCGCCTGATCTGGACCCGTTCTCTTCCCAAACGTGTTTTGGGTTAAACTCTCGAGAGCGCAAAGATGCTTTACCCAAAGCACAGACTACATGTTTATCCTTCCTAGTGTATACACTTCCATCCCTGTTTGATAAACGATTACCGTAGACATTCGAAATCGTCCACTTCGTGCTCTAAAAACTTGAGGGCTAAACAAACCAGTCCACAGTAAAACACCAGTGGAAATAGCACGTTACCAGTCTTGTGGATCTACGGGGGCGAGATGGTTCAAGTGGTTACAGCACGAATTTACTGACCGCAGGGTCCGTGGTTCGAACCCGACCTCGACCTATCGATTTTCCCTGTCTAGGCTTTGGCATCCTGTTGGTATCCCAGCCCTCGTGCCTCCTTCGGGTGGCATAGCAGCTAGGTACCAGAAGGGTGTTACAGTTGAACGATTCATTATTTATTTTTATGTGGATCTCCTGAACCACGGCAGAAGCTGTCTTGAAAATTTGTCTTGTATCAATTAACTTAACAGTGTGGCGATTGCTTCATCTCTCTGCCTGATGGATAGTAGCGAACGCAGACTGCCTTAAGGAAAAGTAAACCAGTCTAACGATTTCCGAAACGAACCAGGCATTGGTGTCGTTCACAAAATTATCGCGAATAGTTCAGGTATCGAGGCATCTCTCCTGTAATTAAGGGTCAGTATACTTCCTGACTGTTCGGTTGTCAGCCGACTGTTGTGCTGGTGACGGTTACACGTTCCTTGGATTGCCCGAGCATAGTACAGTCGCTTTTGTATTCCTATTTTGTATGTTATTCAAGTGGTACCGAATTCCCTAATCACGTTCCCTCACGTCTATCCGTCAAAAACAGGCACTATCAGCAGGCCTACACTCATCTGCTTGAACAACGAATGATTGATATTCACTTGTTAGAGGTGAAGACTGTGGCGGCTTTCATCAATTACAAGGTGAGTTAGTTTTCTGTAATTTGGTTGACCTTTTTAAATGAGCCACAATGAACGGCCATGTTGCAGCGTTCCTCTCCTACAAGCTACCTCCTAGTAAGCTGTATAGGCACCGGAATTTTTCGCGATGCTATGCTTCTTGCATATTTGTGGAAAATTGGTCCTTTCAGGGGTTTTGTTACACATTGACTCACGCGCTTCAAGTCGTCAGCAAAACAACACTCGTATTTGTATAGGCGTTGTACACTACTCATAAGGTTGCTGAAAACTATTCAACAGCCCACGTCCGGTTTCGCCTTGGTTGGGGCTCATCAGGTAGGCACAGTCCCCGAGTTTCCGTCAACTTTATGTTCTACCTGAACCCGGAGACTCATATGGGGACTCCAGGCGAATCTCCCATCAAAACCAAATTGGTGTACAGATGAGCGTGTAAGTCGAACACTTGTACTACCTAGCTGTCCTTGTCAGACCATCAGACCATATTCTCCATGTCACGAGGCTAGCCAAGCGAACCCCTTGAACAAATATAATCAGTGGTAGTGGAACTTTACATACAACAGGTTTTCTGTAGTGGCCTTCTACTATGTGGAGCCGGTGAGAGCGCGCTGTTCTGCACTCTGAAGATTGCGAAACTGCTGCAAGGACAAACTGGAAGATCGAGTCAGGACTTGGAAAGTGTTCGAGAGGCTTCTGGTTGCGTGATTTCCGGTGATGGCAAAAAGTAGGACGCATGGAATCGCACTGAACTGTTAGTGACTGATAAAATCTTGTTAGAGCCTTTTGTCCAAGCCATCACCTATCGAAGTCGCTGGCTTTCAGTAACAAGCGTTCCAGAGGCATCCATCTACTCTGATGCGATGTTACAGCAGTATGAATAGCACGCTGGATCAGACCATGAACAAACTACGGGAACTTGATGTTAGATGGCAGCAGTCGTCACCCTGAATTGGACTCACAGAGTTGCTCGTTTGCGGTATCGATCACCTCTAACTGCCACTTTTCCGGGGTCCTTGTGGATCACCTAGAGTTGTGGCTCTTCCACGATTCATGTTCAACGCCCTGAACAACCAATGAAACCGGAATTTGGAAAGCTTTTTTATTCAGCCATTTCCGTTCCACTTTCCTATTGTGTCTAGAAGATACTATTAAAAATCACAATTGCACCTCGGTTCAAACACTTGAATAGAATTTTTTCGTGCTGAAAATTTTCAGTTTTTCGTGGAATGTCTTTTGCATGAGGCTTTTCGCTCCTTTCTTCTTAAGAAGAGAAAATGATTCAACAGTCTGTTGGAGGGAAATCCACCCGTTAGTTTGCGCTGCGTTTACACTCCAGCTCCTGTCGTCATTTCAGCTTCAGTCAAATACTGCATCGGGTGCGAGGTAAAGGTCTCCACCAGGCTGTTCTGTTCTCATACGGCCACACTTTCGGGTCAATAATCAAGGTGTATCGATTAATGCTTTTGCAGGCTGTTCACTCTGAGCTACTCTAATTTCAGTCTTTGTGTCCTGCATACGTTCAGCTGTAGCATCCTTTCGGTGCCTAACTGCCATACCACCCGAAGGTTGCACGAGGGCTGGGATACTGCCAGGTTGCCCAAGTCTAGGCAGGGGAAGTCGAGAGGCAGAGGTCACGTTCGAACCACGGACCTTCCGGTCAGTAAATTCGCGCTCTAACCACTTGGTCCATCTCGCCCCCTACATACGTGTACTTACTGTGGTGATCCAATCCTTTGTTTCAGATTTGCCGGTTGGCTTTTCAGACCAATGCCTCGGAGGCTATCTCACAATTCCGTAGGCATATTGAATTTTTTTCCGGGCTCGTCGGGATGCCGCAGTTGGCCTTCGAGCATGAGGCATGGATGTCCAGACAGTGAGTTCCTTTGTACATCATCTCCCGACGCTTGCACCTGAGTTGTGCGCACTGCGACTTTTCTAGGGTCTAGGTGCAATAAAAAGTGAACGCACAAATACGCAAATGCGGATTTGTTTTCTGTATTTTCCTGTGATTCCCTAGGACAAGAGTGAAGGGCCAGTACAAGTGTTCACAAGTACTATATTTGCCCAAGATGTAGCAGCGTCAGTACACTTCTCACAAGGTTGTTGTAGAATGCTTGTAGAATACTTCGGGAAAGCGCACTTGAGTGACGCACAAAATCATAAGCCAGAAATTGTGGATTCTTGAGATTTATCCATGAAATGCGGTACTACATGTATAAAATATGTAATAAAAGGGGTACGTACATCAAATTATGGGGTTCTTCTAAACTGTTGCACGAAGTAGTGCAAGTCCAAAGAAAGCCAAGAGAAGACGCCAAATCGATTTTAATTAGCGACGCACGCCTGCGCACAACACGCGGTAAGCAAAATGGTCAGAAAGAGCTCGTAAAAGATGATCGACCATGTCAGGGGTTAAAAGTTCATGAGGGATTACAAATGCATATCAAGTCTATGAGATAGAGGCAGTAAACAGCAGGCTCAAACAAGGGAAAGGAAGTACAGCTATTCTCAAAATTCTATAACGTTAGAGGCTTTCGAAGTGTTGTCTCTCTTTTCGAGAAATACACTCATCTGCAAATCAATTTGGTTTTCACGGGAGACTCAATTGAATCTCTCGTGTATGATGTTCTCAAAGAGTTTTCAGCAACCTTGTGAGTAGTTTCCTCTTGTCTCTCTTCTTAGTGAATAGACTAGTGAATTTCCACTTCCTCGTCCTCGCTAGCAAGAGAAGGATTTTGGATCCAGAAAGGACTAGTCTTTCCTCTTTTTGGACTCAGGAGGTGACTGTAGGTGGATCGGCCACGTGACCCTTGTCCAATGTTTTCAGCACGACGCATTCAGTTCGAATTAGGCGTAATTCATGTTCCTCTGTACATATCGATGATTTATTTGATAGGTAGTTGCTGTGGTGAATCTCTCCACTATTTAAAAACGCGGGCCCCTCAACTTCCGATGGCAGTAGCCACCGCTAGTTTCTGGTTTAAGGTTTCACTTTCATCTATCTCTAGGTCGAAACCTTCTTTGTCTAACTCCCATAGGTTGTGCCCCCATATCCCTAGTTTGTCATAGAGTAACCAAATTGATTTTCATTCCACGTGATTTACCTTCAAGTCTTAGTCACCAGTGTGACTCATTAATCGGATGTGCTGCAATTTTTTCACTTCAGATTCGAAATTCTCGGTGATTTGTTTCAAGAAGCTATTCAGCTCAGCCTAACAGCTCTGATGACACAACATCCTGGTCTGTACTATCAAGAAGCCGCCAGACATGCAATCGCACGTCGCCAACTGTGCCAGACACTGTGCACTGCCGCTGCGAATGCTCCAGAAACAGTACCAGATCCAGAGCCGAATGTAGCCTCAGGTCTATCTGTTCCAGAATCCCTTGATCTCACTATATCGGAAGAGGCTACAGACATGTATTCCATCCCGTCCACCTCCACCTCTCCACAAACGGATCGGTCGAAATCCAAGCGCATGACAGTCACTGATGCTATGGACTTCGTCCGTGCACAGTCCCCCTTACGATTTACTAGACGTGTTTCAGGCAGCGCTTCAGTTAGCCCAAATGTCCGATCCATGTCAGCGGTTTCGCCCTCGTACCCAGACGGCGTTCCCATATCGGCTACGGAAAAAGTGGACGGACTTGAATTCTACGGTCAGCGTCCATGGAGACAGGGAGTGCAAAGTATCGAACCGCCCAACATGGCCAAAGAGCAAGAGGGCATTCGTTTACTTCAGAAAGCCGAATTGGGCGTTGTTCATTCGGTAAGTTCCGACCCGATTGTTTAAGTTTATGATTCGTTTAACCCAAAAAAACCAAGATAGCTTGGTCAAGACTGGAACCACTATTAATAAAGTAGGTCATATGCAAGAATTCAAACTCACATTCAATTGTTCCCGACATTTTTACCTTATCGTGAGTAACGCTGCCGTTAGACGAGCTTAAATGTTAATAGGTCACCACCTTTTGCTGCCATTTCTAGTTATCCTGGAGTGAGCATCATTCCAGCACTTTCACAAGATAAATACATAAACACAGATTAGTTTCCTTTATGAAAATATACTGCGATATCTCGAATATCGTGCCAGCTGAACCATGAGGCTGCCTGTGTGCAGCACACGCAGTTGTAGAGTANGATTCAGTTGAGTCTCTCTTGAAGACCAAATTGATTTGCAAATGAGCGAGTCCAATTTGGGTTCAAGTAGAACATAAGGTTGACGGAAACTCGGGGACTGCGCCTACCTGATGAGCCTCAAGGCGGGCAAAACCGGTCATGAGCTGTCGAAGTGTTTTCAGCAACCTTGTGAATAGTTTCCTTTATGTAAACACAGTTGTTTCTACCAAAAATTGATATTAGAAGGAAAGTGAAGCGGTCATCCTACATCTAAAAGAATTGACTGTAGCCTTCGCTACCCTTCAGTTTTCTTGCCCTCTTGAATCATGTTCGTATACGTCATCTCCCGTGATACTTTGGTAATTCTATGCACCTATGTTCTTTGAAACTGCCTTTCAGGAGCTCATCATTCCTTTGCTGGAACAAACACATCTACAGTATAAGCGTTATAAGGCGGAACGAATGAAGCTGTACCCGTGTGAGTTCCAGTGTATTCCATTGTGACTGATTTAGTTGAATTGCAAGGGGCAAGGTTCAGAGGACTGCAGTTAAAATCTTCTCCTGTTCACCGACCCCTTCTTTTCATGAGAAGTGCAGGTTGTTTAACTATTCTGGAATGTCACGGATGGTCGTTTTTCCTGCAGACACTGCTGGGCCAGAGTGTAATTTGTCCTAGTTGTTTCTCTAAGCTCTCAAGGAGACCAATTCATGTCCTTCGGATACCATTTCCAAATATGTGATGTTTTGGGACCGAATTAGCAAAAGAACCCAAAAGCCTGAGGGGATGGAATGACAAAAAAACTGCAGCTATCCCACTCAGAACCGGCCAAAATCGTGCCCTTGTGGGAGCAGAAGCTATCAAGCTTATTGCTCAAAAGTTACCCCCCACCCTTGGTTGGTATGATTGAAAGGGACGAAAGACGTTATGTAGTTCTGAGTGAAACACTATGTATAAAAAAATTAAAAAAAACGTTCAACTTGCATCCACGGCTTTCATAATGGCAGTTGGTGACACTTACTTCCAATGACGCTTATTGCATGACAGATATCTGAGGAACCAATGCATGAAAACTGCAAAATACAGTCAGCCTAAGCTGGGTTAATCCTTGATTCTGGTACCGGCTCACTTCACTTTCAAATTCAGTTTCTTTCTGGTGCTACAGATTGTTGAGTTTCTATGTTGAAATACGAGTTCTTCACCTCCAGTAGTGGTACCCACCTGGATTTTTATGATAAGAAACCTGCTGGTTGTGGAACCTGTAGTCTGTTTCGTGCATTTCGGTGCGATCTCTCAAAGCACTTGCTGCGTATGGCAAACTGCTTTGGGTTTCTATATGCCACTTTACGCGGGTCCAAAGTGAGAGTAAAACTGTGCTCAATTCTGTTCTGTGAGCTCCCGCGACTCAGCGACCTATATGTACACTAATGTGAACAGGACTTTGATGCGGTCATCTCTCAAACCGTCGAGGCATCACCAGGTGGTACGTTCGGCAGATATGTATAAACATGGTTGGCGCTAAATCTTAGCTATCAATGAATAACGTACATTCTTCCTGACAACGCTAGCCTGCTGCAATGCACACATTCAACCTTATTGATTGATATGTACGACATTCGATTGGGTACCTGTCAGGACCAGTCGCACCAGACAATCCCCAGACGTCCCCAGACAATCAGACCCCATTTTCCATGTCTGGAAGTCGACAGAGACCTAGCGATTAATGTGCCAACAGGACCAGCAAAACCCGTTTTTCTCGGAAACACTGTCTTGCAGACGTTTCATCTCTTTTGACACTCGCTGTCCTCGTAAGCTCTGTCTTTCGAAAGACAGTACTGCGCTTTGAAAGAAATTTTGTTCCACCGCCGCGTTAATCAGGTAGCAACACAGCTGTAATCGTCTGATTCACTCATACTCTGGAATCTCAATCGGTTAGCTATCCAAGACGTACAGGTTGGGAATGATACTTCCGCAGGCAACAACGTGATCTGATATTCAAATTCCATTATTCTTCCGCTTTTTCACCCTCACTTCCTTAGCCCATTTTCAACTCACTCACGGGATGGTATGTGACCTTTTTTCATCCTGCAGCTTTTCTTATGGGAGCGGAATATTTTCAGAAGGGAAACTACGCGAAAGCACTAAGGTTAGTTTTCCTCTTTTTCTACCATTTGACTTAACATTTTACCGTCCGTATTTAATCCTAAGCTAACAGTCCTCTTGTCGGTGTGTGACTTCCCTATCCGGTCACCGCAACTCAAACTGGCCTCAGCGTAGGATACACACGCGCCAACGTTCATCTGGGAAGATCGATGCTTCGAAGTTCCTGGAAAACCGAAGAAGACAACGTCATTGGTAGATACCTCGCGCTGTCAAGTGAAGCTACACCATCCTCTGGAGACATTTTTTGGTTTGACGCGTCTAGGCCCTGCTTTGGATTTCCTGTCTTTCATAAAAAGCTTCAGGAATATGTCATTCAATGCAAGGCGAACACATGAAAAGACTTATTAGCCGCGTTCGGACAGTATTGTGTGATGTTCTTTATGTTTGTATGGCCCCTAGATATTATTTTTCTTCCGGTTGTTTCACGGTAGTTCAGTAGTAGAGCCGAGACTATAAAAAAATTAGGGTGCGAACTTACTGACCAGAAGGTCCGTGGTTCGAACCCAACCTCAGCATCTCGACTGTCTAGGTTTGAGTAACCTGACAGTTTCTCAGCCCTCGCGCTTCCTTCTGGCGGTATGGCAGCTAAGCTCCGAAAGGTTGTTACAGCTGAACGACTATTGTTAGTGCTATTTAGTTCAGTAGTAAACTGCTCTTACTTCTGACATGGCTAGCGGTTTTGACAGTATTCCCTTTGTTCGGGGGCCAGCCGTCCCCAATAACCGAACAGCACATCATTTGAACGGCTGTGTCACGTGCAGGACACGGGCCAAACGAAGGCACACCCTGATTGGTCAGAATGCTACCCAATCCGGGTCGGGCATCCTTGACTGGACGCTTCTCGCCCCCTCACGGACATCCTGGCATGACCTTGTGGAACACTGTAACTACCCTATAAATACAGATGTAATGATTCTCCTTTTGTCTCCATAAAGGGCTCTCTAGAGCTACCGTGCCTTTTGATATACCATAGTGGGCGGAGCAGGAAGCCAAGGGACCGATACAGAGTTGCACGACCGTTCAGCAAGTTACAACACCTTTCCACTGTTTGTACGCTGGTCGTGCATCGTGTATAAACTTCAAGCAATCCATTAGTCTTGCTAAGGATTTCAGCTCTTTGTCAATCGATTCATCTACATTTGTTTATGTTCAAATCCGTTATAAACTACAAGACTCGTTATACGCCGAAAAACCTCCCTAAAGGGGACCCCTGTGCAGAGGGTGGGCTTCTTTTTGGTCTCATTCCATTTCGAAGTAGAGGTTACGTGATATCCAAAGTCCACACCAAGAAGTCGTAGGTTGTTTGGTGTCTGGAATGCCACAATGTTCGTTTTCTGCTGGGGTGTAAAGCTCAAACTAGCATGGCTGATGGCAGAGCTTTCTGACCGCTGTCAGGCATGCCATCCAACAAGCGGATTATACGAAAACGGAAATCCTCATCAAGTCAGCTTACCTGCAGCACGTATCCATGTATAACTTCCCGCCCAGTTTCTGGGGTGCACCTGTCTAGTTAGAGTCGGTCCACCCACAGAGAACGCACACCATCGTCCTTTTCAAGGGTTTGTTTTTCACATGAGGAACATACTTGATTATTAGTCAAGCACTCACCATGTTTTCTTTAGTTTGGTATCTTATCCTCGAGCGTTCATAAGTCTTGCGGGAACTCAGAAACTAACTGATTAGCTCAAAAAGGGCGAGACTGGCCGTGAGCTGTCGAACCTTATGACTAATTTTTTAAGTTCGACAACCTCAGTAATAACACAGTGTTCATGCCTAATGTCCCTTTGGATCATCATCAAAATGTTCATTCCATTAGTAACCTGGCCTGCTTTTTTTATTATCTCCAAGCAATTTTAAGTAAACTTTTGAAACTCAGTATGGTTCATTGCGTCTCCTGCTCTTGCACATATAGATGAGTATCAACTCACGAATTTCTTTAAGACCGAATTGCTGTTCACATCGAAGATTCCGGGGACTACACCCACCTGATGTGATGTGCCCGAAACAGGGTGGAAGCGGTGTTGAATGAATTCTATGTAATTGTTTCGTATGCATAATCATCATCGTTATCGTCTTCACCTGTAAGAATCACACACTTGCCCTACAATGGTTATAGCTGCTACAGCTTCGTTCGCCGATGGTTTGGGTAAGTGGGGTAGATGGCGACATACTGGAGCTGATATAATTGACTCGTGTTGTCAGTGGACTTTTCGTTGGGGAGATCGGGAGGGGAGCTATTCACTGAAGCCAACAGCTTAGATGCGTGGACCCCATTGAGGGCTCGACTGAGCCATGTCCGACAATGTCTCTAACCATTGATGCGTTTCGGCTCGGGGTCCCCATCCAGGGAGGCGACAATGACAGCTTAGCCGGAGTTTGCTGGTAATGGCTCACACTCCGTCACTGTTTTTTTCCCTAATAACTAATTTCCAAACCGGGTTTTAATAAAACCCAATTGATTTCCTCAACATATTTACCTCGTTTGCCAAGGAAACCTGTTTTTGACCGATGCTGAGATATATCTTGCTCGTGACTCACAACCACTGTTTTTCAAACAAGCCAATTACCATTTGGTTTCATTACTCTAAATTTGAAACGACTGCTGCAGCGCAGCGATATAAGGACAAACAGATTACCTCCGGGAAACTCCTCAGGAGGGATGTTTCTATCCCTGTCGGTAGATTTGAGCCTGCAGACTATGTAGTCGACCTTACGGTTAAGACTAAGCTCATTACTCACCCTTGATTGATCTTGTTTTTTTTTCTGCTCCAAATCTGCAGCTGTTATCTGTCTATAGTTGATGAATACAGGCGGGAGAAATGGTGGCACATCTGCACCGATATTCTGCAGCACATTCTCAAGTAAGTTCGCGGCCCTATTTCTCCACATCATTCCAAGGTGGAGATGCTTTTAGTTGCTTGTTATCTGTTCGTATGTCATTCGGACTTTTACCTACATAAAGTGGTTATTGTAAGTGGACGATATTCTGGCCCGGCAAGCTCCGTTGTACTGGCAACTGCCATCTTCTCGGACGGTGATCTAAGGACGAGATACGCACTCGGGGTTGGTGACACTGACCCAATCGCGTAGTCGCTAGCCTCTGTTACTTTTCTATCCCGATTCTTACTCCGTGAAGAAAGCGGAAAGGCTAGACATCAAGTAAATCGTCAAGTGTTTGCTCCCAACGTGAAACCCCATCATTCCGTCTGCCCTTGGTGAGTAAGGTATCCAAGCGATAGGTTTTCATCAAGTAAATCGTCAAGTGTTTGCTCCCAACGTGAAACCCCATCATTCCGTCTGCCCTTGGTGAGTAAGGTATCCAAGCATGGCGATAGGATTTCTTCAGAAAAACTTGACAGCAGACTACTGTAGGCAAGCATTTCATTATTTACGACCATTTGTTAAACCGAGATAAACTGATGATGGGCGATTCATCATGGTGTGCACCGTCCGCGTAGTGACCTTCGCCTGGTTGGTTATCAGCATGGACTAAGCAAGGGGCATGAGTACTATGTCGTCACATAGATGGACAACGAATCGCCAGGGCTAGGAAGGGCTAGCATAATGCAGCATGGTGATCAAGACAGAAAAAAGCAACCAGTTGTGAGATTGCAATTGCAGATCTTTACCACCGACAGCAGAAGATGGCTGTTGAACACGGGTGCTTCGTACAACCACTTGCAAGCCCCACCGTCATTTATCAGACTGGTTTGATTAGTGAACTGTATGAGTGCTTATGTAGTTCGCCAAGCCGGTCTTTTTGTAGGCAGATTGTTTGCGCAGTTCATGGCTGCGTTATGCAGCTGTCTAATATGCTGCCTTGTACAGAGTGAGAACGTTTTGCAATTTGGTCTGACGCGCAAGGGTAGAGAAAAACATGCACTACCAAGTGCCATGGAATATGGTGGTTGGTGTACAAAGCACTGGAAAATGGATAAGGGATTTCCATTGCCTCTAGATTCAACATATCTAATATGGGATTGCCCACAGACGCGGAATCGTCGAGTTGCCCGTCAGGAGTCCCTTTTTCCGGAGAATTGTGATACTGCTATTTAACGAGTAGTTAAGATTTTCTGTAATATTTAGAGGCACTACTGTCTGTCGAATCTGTAGCCAGGATAGGACTAGTGCGTTTTTCTGGCCCACTTGTATGCGGGAGTTCGACGGGGGATGGAAATTCTATGGTGAAACCGAAAATGGAATATGTACTGAGGTAGTATTGTTATTGAGCACATCCGTATTCTCTATGATATTTTCATCGTAACCTTTTTAGATGTTCTTACATGACCGGGCTCATTGAGACATTCCTTTCTACGGCACTGGAATTGATTGGCCCTGGTAAGTATCGCGGTCGGTTTCATCATAATTCTTCCTCAAAATTATCTCTACCAATCTGGTTTATCGCGCGTTTTGTGTTCTTATCACTTTAAATTCTTTAAGTGAACTAGTTTTCCCCTTCCTCAAAACTCATGGCCCTCTCAGGATTGCGGATGGATGTGGAAAATGGGGTGTGAGTTCCTAGTAACCCGTTTATTGTTTCAAGCCCCTTATTTGGGCCTGATCAACCTGGCGTTATTTTAGCCCTCATGTCCTCCACGGACTGTATGTCCTGGTCGAAATCACGAATACCAGGGCATAGATTGCAACTTTTAAATGAGAAAGCGAAGACGCGGTCAACAGAGCTGACAGTTTACGCACACCCACAAGGGGAGACATTTCCGGCTTAGTCTGCAAACTTCGCATCACTCTCCTTATCTCGGAGTATTTGTTTTGTTCTTGGTTATCACAAACCGAATTTCGTGGGAGGCAAAGGTTTGTTTTTCAGAAGCTGGCTGGGGATCCGGTGAAATTGCGCAAGACCTCATTTGGAATGATTCACGGATTAGGCATCTCACGAGAGAGAGGGAAGGAGAGAGAGAGAGCACGTCTGATTAGTGAATGTAGATACCCAGGTTGATTGATATGTGTAGATGAACAAGACTCAGTATCACGACCGAACAAATGCGAACCAAGCCCTGGCACTCTACAAATCCCCTTGAATAACAAGACTCATTTTGGAAGTGACTTCATCTATGCCTCTGTGTTAATTTTGCATACACACGAAAGGCGCACTTTATGGTTAATAGTGTGGTTACTGAGAGGTCATAGCAAACAAATGTAGATCATGGGTTGATTGACGCTCATGGATACCCATCACCATCACCATCGTGGACAGCATCAGTGTTCGTCACGGATGTTTCACCGTACTACCATAATTTATTTTGAAGCCCTATTTAAAAAAATGAAACATGTTAGGAAAACGGTCTAGCAAACTACACTCGCCTCGAGGTGTCTGCGCATGTCTGCACCACTCCTAATCAGGCACGCAAAACTTTTTTTCGATGGTAATGATTAGGCATGCACAATCATGGCTAAATCACCGTAGCTTTCGGTGCTGGGCACATTTTTCGGTTAAATTCCCCGTTGCACGACCTAACACTCATTCGCTAAATGTATCGTCGCGGATTCGTTGGTACCAACGTACGTGGGTAATGCTTCTGACACGGCACTTTTAAAAAACCTGAAGATTATTCAGTCCCGCTGCTCGAGCAGGCGACGTCTCACAACCATTCAACAAAATATCCCGCACTGTAGCCTGATGTACATGCCTCTTGAGGTTCAGAGAAACACCGTCACAAGTGTACCAAATTAATAAGCGCGATTCGGGCTCTAAAGATGTGTACGATAACCTCAACTGTCACGAGACTCCAGGTAGTCTTGAACCCGCGACCTCCCGGCTAGTAGTTTCAATACTTAACCTTTCGGCGACAGAGGGACTGATCAGCAGTGTGAATAACCCACAGTTAGGTAGGATGTAGCGCCGCTCATCCTGCGATTACAGAGACCAAATCTTTTCACGTGTTGACTAGCTCCTCGAGTGACGACTTCTCATATGGAAGTTTCACTCGTCTTTTTAAGTTACTCTTCTTGTGGCAAAATTTTGAATGAAAATTACTAAGTCTTCTCACACTGCTATTAAAGTTAGAAGCGCCTTTTACACCAAACAATACCAATTATGGATTGCTTTTACGTTTGACATTGTTCTGGTACCTAACGGACTGTGAACATTCGGTTAACCTCAAGCGATCTCACTTGCTTCTCCGGAGTTTGCTTCATGACCCACCCTGAGGTGACGATAGACAGGTGGCGCGCGGATTCAAGTTGATTACCGCGTTCACCACGGACTTCCTTTGTGAAAATGGGCACTATCACCGATTCTTCCCAATTGTCTGAAGCACTCTTTATTCCCTAACTGGGGGAAGATGGGACAAAGGAACGCCACCCTTGAACAATGCAGGTGGTAGGTCATCCGCACCAAGATATGCAATCATAAACCCCCGAGGTCGTGTGGATTTCTAGGTTCACCGTCCATGGTCCTACCTAAGTTCGACAGTCTAACTGAGTAGCCGTGAGAATCGCTCAAAGTGCTCAGTCCAGTGGTCAAGGCGTCTTTATTCAAAACTTTGATTTCGGATGGTTTCAGTCATTGACGAATTTTAGGGACCGGTCGGCTGGATTAACCGAAGTAGTCTTTGGGCATTCCAAACATTCTTCGCGTCTTCTTTCTTAGTTTTCCATGTTTACAAGCCTCTAGGGTCAGTGCACGCGCTGGTTTTCATTTGACGTCTGGTAATTTTTCGGGTTGAATGGTGCTCCGGTCCGGCAGGAGCGTTTCTCCAAGATTCAGATAGCACCACTGTTCTGTCTAATATTGTGTTTGAGAGGAGCTGGCAGTGCTGTGCTGTAGGCGAAACTCGGTACTGTGCAAGCATGCAGCGATCCCGTTCCAGAGCGAATAGACATCCGACACTAGGCCAGTTCGAAGGGTCTAGAAAACGGTTCTGATAAATTCGTTGACTTAGGGAGGTGTCAACCTCTTAGTTGCTAAATTAGTTATCTGCAGGCAGTGCCAGGTTATCGTGTGGAGGGGTAACTCACCCACAATTGGCGAGCTTTTCATATTCCACAGGTAATTTTCGTTACGATACTCAATTTTCGTATCAGGGGACCAGCTAACTCACAGAGTGCTCTCTGCCCAGCACCGTTCTGCATGGAAGCGACCTAAAGGTGTTTGTTCTCTAAATTGGTAACAAAGTTATGGTTGCAACTGTCATATTGCCTAATTGGAACCTCTGGAAGATCAGTGACACTTGTCCAATGGAATGATTCAATCTCGCACTCGTGCGATCAAAATATCGCCTATCGACGTAACTTCCCTGTTTCATTGTATTTACAACGGAGGCTTCATAAGCCTTGGACTCTGTGATCCAGTCTATTGGGAAGTACTACTTTGCACCTGATTAATCGACTGATCTATTGACTGTTCCAACGGCACGTTTCCCTTCTTACATTAGTCACGTGCCTCACACGATCCAATCGATATGAATCCCGATTTAAAAGGCTGTCCGCCTCTTCACTCAAGAAGTGGTCATCCCGTCGAGGTAGCATTCGGCTCATGACTACATCTCATTTCGATGAGAATAGACTCGCATTCATCCATCCATGAAGCCCACCAAACACTTTTCAAGCAAAGGCAATCTGTGAGCGGTGCTTTCACGTACTCTGTACCTAATTCCACCAGTCACGAGCACTGCACAGCACCCGATACTCCTGGTAGATTGGTTAACGCGAGCCGTAGACATATCTTCTCTTCGGTCACCTTCCGAAAATCTCGCCTCTCGACTCAGCCGGCATTGACTACTTTATTCGGTGATATTTCCCGAATTTACCGACCAGAAGTGAGTCGACGCTGCAAGGAGGATCATGGGGCAGACCTATACTCTTTGAAGAGTGATGCGTCTAGGATACACGTTCATCGTCTATCAATCTTTCATCGTTCATGTCGTGATATGTCCAGATCCTGTAATGTGGCGAAGTGTTGCGTTCCCTTGACCGGGTTGTTCCGCCGAGTTGTGTTGCAGACATGTGGCGACACCCAAAGACGATCACTGTCCCCACGCTGTCTCTCTTCCACGCATTTGCCTCCATCACAGTCTTCCCGACCTCGCTCGCTTAGTCCAGGCTACTCTTCCCGGTTTCGCAACGAGGTGGCCAGCGCACATCTGGGAAGCCGACTTGATTTGGATCGTCTTTTGCCCGATGGGGACTGTTTTTCCACTGGGCTACTTTCCGCACAATCTTTGGAGAGCCTTATTTTTGAACTGTTTGAAAAAAGAGCCGAAGTATCACTTAATAGGACGGCTCCGAAAGTCGGCAACGGATATGGTACAACTCCTGCTGGTGAGCATTCATATTCACAGACCGCAGATCAAAAACTCTCCATTTCGGATAAATATGTGCTCGGTCCTGCTCAGCCCAGGTTTCAGCAACGACAATCCAAACGAATTTGGAACTGAATTCGCTCACCTCCAAATGCGTACAAAATTAGGAACTTGTATATAGACATTCCAACTTCAACTGAAGCTTTTGGTGTCCAACTTTTTTCGTCCCTTTGTGAGTAACTTCCGTTCACCCCTCTTCACCTTCATTTCTTTTCACAGAGACCCTGCTAGCCGTTTCAGACAAACAAAGTTTGCAACTTGCTGTATTCCAGTTACTTCAGGTAGGTGGTTTGTACGCCAATACTTCGTCGAGTGTTTGTGCTTTAGTATGACCTCATTAGTGCTGGCAACTTTGATGAGGTTTCTGTAGACAACTGACGCTTTGCGTGCGTGCGAATTAGAAATACCCGTGAACAACTACAATCCTGTTTTTTACTCTTTAGACCAGGTTCTGCAAATGCGGGAGTCGCTCGACTCATCAGCTGAACTGGTGACCGATAGAATACATTATCCAGTCTAAGTCATGGGCCTTAAGCACTTTACTACTGTAAATCGAACTGATTCCATCAATGGTCTAAAATAGTAATCTGGATAAGGTTACGAGCTCGAGATAGTTCATTGGTTAAGGTGCGAACTTACTAAGCGGAAGGTCCGTGGTTCGAACCCAACCTCGGCATCTCGTCTGCTCGTGCCTGGGTCTGGGTAACGTAAAAGTATCTCATCCGTCGTGCTTCCTTCGAGTGGCATGGCAACCAGGCACCGAAAGGGTATTACAGATGAACGGTTATTACATTATCATTAAACATACACCAGTATATCAATGTTTCGTCTTCTTGTTCGTCGACTCTCGACTGGAATTTGTCGAGAGCACTACTTTGTTGATATTGACCTACGGAGTGATTCAAGCTCAGTGCTGGACGGTGTCACTGATCAACTGGTCAATGGAGTGACTACGTGGGGTCCAAACGCCAGCAATCTGATTGGCCTTCTGCCCGCCCTCCATTGGAGCGATTACTAACTATGACTTGGAACCAATGTTCGTGGCCTTATTGCTAAATGGTAGTGTAATCTGATGTGAATGGCTAACAGCCTTAGATTTTTCGGGCAATCCGTTTCAAACGGGGCTGAAACTGAAATAGCAACAGTTTTTCAGTCGGTTCATGCAAACTAGTTCGGGGTTAAATCTGATCACTGCCGTAGCCTCTGGATTAGTCTTTTCAGAGAGACTGCCTTCGGATTATTTCTCAGCAATGGCCATATTCCTCCGAAACGCCTATGCCCATACAGTTTCTTTTTTATTGATAATCTACCTGCGAAGATTATCAGTCTGTTGTTCACCCAGAGTCCAGACCAAATCATTCATCCCGTCTTTTGATTTCAATGGCTTGTTTTTTATGAATGTTGTTGTGACAACCACCTGGTCCGTTCCGAACCGGCGTTCTACCCTTGTTGAGCCTTATTTCCATCCTGTTTTTGCTAATTATGCTACTCTCGTGAGTCTAACATTGTCAGAAAGGTTCTGTTTCTAATGAAGTCGTACGAAACACGTACCGCTTTGTTATGGTTTAATTCCATGTACAGATCGGTCAATTCTATGAGTATTCCAGATTGCAGATGCACACCTTTGCGATCGGCGGCGAGATCCGCAGACGTTACGACTAAGACAGGAGAGTAAACCGTATTGGAGACCAAGATTTTTAACACCTGTTTGATTGAACTGGGTTACGATGGAAACGCCAATTTCTGCCGGAACTTGGTTTGACTACTTTTTCCACCAACTCATTGTTCAGCTTGCGAGGAACATGTCGTTGATGTTTGTGTGGTTGTAAAACGCCGAAGCACAACTGTCCAGTAGCCGCACTATAAACCCTCAATTCTCGTATGCCTGCACAGGCTTTTGAGAGAATATGAAAGAAACACCGCTTACCGAAATACCCTTCTAATTCCGGGGCTATCACTACCTACTTTCATCTCGAAGTTCCTCTGACGATGGTACTCCTGATGATTTGCCCGAATAAATAATAATAATCGTTCAGCTGTAACACCCTTCCGGTGCCTGGCTGCCATACAACCCAAAGGAAGCACAAGGGCTGAGCTACTGTCAGGTTACCCAAGCCTAGACAGGGGAAGTGGAAAGGCAGAGGTCGGGTTCGAACCGCGGACCTTCCGGTCAGTAAGTTCGTTCTCTAACCACTGAGCCATTCGCCTGACTTGTCCTGGATAGTATCTCGGATACCAGAGCTCTACACGACCTGAGCTACAGTGGGTATTTGTATGTATCGGACCGTTCTGGACTGCTCTCCTAAAACTTGAATAGGATCTTGACAGTAGGAGGTTACTAGAACTGCCGGTTATTCTACCCACTGGAATAATCTGTCAAAACTTAAAACAGGTGAACAAACGCCAGCTAGATAACAGCGATTGTTTCGTCCTTGTCGATGATGCAAGCGGGTGCATGTTATCTGCGAGGATAGGGTCGCGAAGACCTACTGCATAGATGTTTATAGGTGTCAGTCGACATGGCGATGTCACCATAACCAGTGGCAGTGTTGTGTCTGTTCTGATGTTCTTGCTTATTAACACCTTGTCCGTTTTTCAAGGAAAGATGTTTTTCCGCGCAACCTGCTGCCAAAAGCTGCGGCGACCCGAAGCATCATGGTTTACGGTTGTCAACCTGATATAGCCTATTGTTTAGACCTCGATAGACTTTTGGGAACTTGCTTCCCCGCGAACCTTTTCAACTTTCTATTCGAACACAAGAACTACTGCCTTATTAAACCTGTTTTTGCTGTTTCGTATCAAAGATCCGATGTTTCATCCATTTGCACCTGCTTTTTCTACCCTATGGTGACAGGGTATGCCTCCTGACCCGATATTTTTCATGCCCGAACTTACGCAAATCCCCGAAGAGACAACCGCACTATGGACAAGGCATTTACGTCAGTTGCTGTCTGCCACGGTGACTGATCAACCTGAACTCGCCGTCGTTAGCGCACCTCCTGCCACGGATCAGACCACTGTTGTCAATGAGCCTCGAGTGGAGATAGATGTTTGTCGTCTGGCTGTTTGTGGTACGTCAGAAAAGTAACCACAATCATTCTTTTCTATGAGGTCTCTTAGAGTCATAAGGATCGCTTTCTATTTCCCTTAATTTATAATAGCATAAACTGACTAAAAGATGACTTCGCGATGCATATTTCCAAGTTCAGGCGTATAGGAGAAAGAATAAAATCACTAAGAGGAAGTCAACTTTCAGCGATCAGGGACCGATCGGACATATGTGTCAAGTGATCTGACTAGCTGTCTGCATGAGCCTCTACGAGTCATTTCCGGCTGGTGAATCAATGTATGCCGATCGATTCCGCGAGGACTAGAGTCTTTTTTACAATGAACTTTGTCAAGTTTGTTGATATTTTGTAAAAAAAAAGATGTGTAAGAGCCGTTGCGGCATTTAAGGCTAGAACCGAACTCTTACCGTTGCGTTTTCCTTTTTTGCAAGCTTATTGTGATAGTATATACTCATGAATGACTGGCATGTTATGAATCCCAAGACGGTTGACGCGCAACCCCTTAGCACCGATGTAAACCTGACCGGCACCATTAAGGTACTGTCAAGGTGATGTTGGTAACCTGACCGTGTTCCATTAATTTTGTAGCTAGCGACGGTTTCATCCTTAGGAGGACCCACAGATTGTCATTAGGAAATGGAACCTACTTACCTGGATTCCAGAAAGTCATGTCCTTCAGTTGGACAGGCTGGTACGCTAGTTATCCAAAAGACCGATCCCGTACATTCCGCAAATCCACTGGGGAAAACGTAGATCCTTTTGAATGTTTCGCTTCTTTTCGCGCGTTGAAAGGCGCCGTGCCTGAAAGCTTCTCACTCATGTTCGAATAGCCGTTGTGCCGAGCGCCAGGTGCTCCTCATGACCTAAATTGGAGGCTACATTTTTCCACACTTACCTGAAGGCTGCTCAAGTGGCGGAATGTCTATTTCGTTCTTCAGCAGAGCCAGCTTCTCTTCAGGCTGCAGTCAACTCCAATAGCATTTGCCTTTGAAGGACTTCGGTGTTGGGGATTCGGTCGTTCCAGTCAAGAGCCCGGACATGTCATGCTGTATGGCATTCAATTCTCGATGCCGATGCATTGCAATCGTTCTGTCTGCGCGCAAGTGGTGAATAGTCCACACGCGTTTCCAAAGAAGACCGGACACCGTGCTAGGTTTTGCAACTCGTACGCCTACTTCATTACCAATTATGACGTCCATAGATAGTATGCTGCTAATGTAGAAAAAATCCGTGCAGCACGCCATCTCACAGCCAATTAGCTGAATCAGAGGCGCTTTGTGTTGAATCCTGGTGTAGGCTGACAAAAACACAAGTGTCTTGGATGTGGCTGAACCGGATAGCATAGATAGCTAGTGTAACTCCGCTTCAGATGCATTCGTTTCCAAATGGCAGCACATGGAACTTCGACTCTTGCAGCGTTCTGTTCAGGAGATGTTTTGCAGCCATAATTTCATTTCCGTGTGAGACGGTTTGCTAAGACGAAAAACTGTCTAAGAAGTTAAGTTTTTGTAGGACGATCTACGGCGAATCCATGTTTTTGGTGCAGTTCACAGGCTATCCAGTGAGCGGTCGATTCCGTTCAAGATTTGTCTTGAAGCACAACTTGAGCCAAACGTAATTCGACTGCCTCGAACGTCACAGTCTCCTTAGGAACTTTTTATCCCCGAATTCAGGCAACTAGTCGATGGAGAAGGATCATTATCATCATCGTCACCTGTAACAATCGCGTACTTACCGTACGATGGTCATAGCTGGTTTCCTTTCGTTCACCGATGATTTGTTTGAGGGGTGGGGTGTCGGACGCGGTAGCTGATGTAATTGCTTCGTAGTTGCGGGCTTGTCAATGAACTCTGGGACGGGAGCTATACATTGAGGGCAACAGCTTTGATGCATGAACGCCTCTGAGGGCGCGACTGGACTATGTCTGACAATATCTCCAACCATTGATGTGTCCCGTCGAAGGAGATGACACTGACCAGCGCAGCTGAGGAGAACACTAGACAATTTTTCCTGACGTGCATAGGAGGCAGATTCCGCGGCAGTTAGCCGACTTTTGTCGGTTTTCGTTCCTTTTATCCAGAGGAATTGTCGCTGCATCCTTGAACTCTTTCAGAACGTCTTCCAGTTTAAGAACTTTGCATGGCAGTTAGAGAGGTTCGTCATGCAATGTGGGCCTTTCCGGCCTGAACAGCTCCTTAAGAAAGCTTTCATATCCCGTTGCTCTCCCATGTTGTAGTTGCTTTATGACCGGTTGAATAGTGTTGAAAATTGTCTCCCGGCTGCGATAATTGTGTCTGGCTTGTTAAGTTTTTCACCAGTTTGTCTGCTTTCTACCGATCGAAGGCATTGAAATTTCGACCTATGGATTTATTTCAGTCCGGTAAATAATTGTTTGTGACAACGGCGATACGCGTATGGCTAGAGCTCTTCCCTTAATTTTGTCCATCATTCACTTCTTGTTCTCCGCATGTGTTTCTAAACTCTGGTCCTGGCGCTTCCGTTTATTTCGGGAGCCCCACGCGGAATCTTTGACCTTAAGGTTTAACCCAAACGTCAGTGAGGGGCCGACCTAGCCCGAGGGCACAGGGTGTAAGGTATGAAAATCTGACTGCTACTGCCACAACGTACAGCAACTGACTTTTGAGAAGCACTGGACTCTTGATTTTAAAGGCGACGGTATTGAATCAAGTTCAACCGCTGGGCGATCAGAATGTGCGGTGTTCAGAGCCCATCCCTTCTAATCCGTTCTTCGTGAGGTGAAGGCAGCATCGCTGCTTCCGCAAATATGGAGAGGCTAGTCACCTTGGGTAAAGGTCGTACTGTTCTGGAAATCCTTTCGCAGCGAAAAATGCCACTGTCATTTATTGCAATTTTTCGCTGCTATTCATTAGACTGCTCCCCACTGACCTTTCTGACAGAGTTGGACCTAAGGAGCTGAGATGCAGCCATTATGGTCCACAGGATCATTACAGCACGGAGGCTTAACCTTCACGGCAGTGTCATCATCGTCATAATCTGCTGCAAGAACCGCGTGCTTGTCGTACAGTGGTTATAGCCGCCACAGTTTCGTTCACCGATGACTTGGGGAGGTGGTATATATATATATATCGGTGTGGCTCTTCAAATTTATCCTGATATCTTCAACTGGTACATTAGTATATAATATTTCGTGGGGTTGGGGAACACCGGAAAACCGCCCGCAACTATCAAAAATTCGTGGTACTGAGATGCCAGTCTAAGGTCTAGGCTCTAAACGCTTGAAATACGTTTTAGACATAAGGAAAACTTTACAAGCGAGGTGCATTTCGTTTACCATTCGTAAAACGGCACATTTGTAGCACAGTCAACTTAGCATTTACCGGCAAACGTATGTGTCCTGAGTGGAGACGGTGCAGATGGTCACGCCGGAGAGCAACATTTACATCTTATCTGAGGGTGCCTCTTCATCAGGCGTTTCAGGTGTTTTGGGAAGGTTCGTATCTTCCGATACCTGTTCTAGGCTTCAAAGACACTGTTGGACACTTGCTGGTGGCAGTGGCAGTGTCGCACACAACTTAGTGTTGAAGTACAACATAAGGTTGACGGAAACTCGGGGACTCCGCCGACCTGGTGAGTCCCAAGAAGTGCAAAACCGGTCGTGGGCTATCAAGGGGTTTTCAGCAACCTTATGAGTAGTGCGTTTTGTCAGGGGATTACATTTATTCTTAAGATTATCGGGAAGAACAATTGTGGTCATATGACAGATGCGTAGAAATAGTAAACTAAGTAAGTGAACTATCGAAGGCACAAGACAAAATGAACCAAAGCGAGGCTTATGCTCAGTTCGTAAAGGAATCTGTTCCCCGACATAATAGCTGCCTGCAAGCTGGCAACATGAACTTTCCCCGAGGGTAATTTTTATGTAATGTTCTCGTCCATACCGTCATTGATCGAGTTTACAATGCTGCGGTGCGCTCTATATTACTATACGGATCAGAAACCTGGCCGCTGCGCGCCGAGGACGTCAAAAGACTTTCAGTGTTTGACCGTCGATGTCTTCGGAACATTGCCCGAATCTGGTGGGAACACCGGATCAGCAATGCTGAAGTTCGTCAAATGGTATTCGGAAGAAATAACACCCTTGATAGATGAACCGATCACACTACATAGGTTGCGCTGACTTGGCCACCTGCCGCCAACTCTTCCTCGAAGGGTTCTTTTCGCACAACCATGTGAAGGGTGGAAACGAGCCAGTGGCAGTCAATGACTTGGCAGCGAAGTACAAATGTCATTGCCAGCAAACTCAGCTGGTCATTGCCGTCTTCGTAGATTGGTACCCCGGGATGGGCCACATCAATGATTGGAGACATTGTCAGATATGACCCAGTCGCGCCTCCAATGGCACTCGTGCATCCAAACTATTGCCTTCAATGCATAGCTCTCTTCCCAATTCCCCGACTTGATAGTCCACTGACAGTGCTGCATTTACGCACTTATTCATCAATTCCCGCCTCCAATCCGCAACTCTACCCCACCTCCCCAAATCATCGGTGAACGGAACTGTGGCAGTTGCAACCACTTTACGACCAGTACGCGGTCATTACAGCTGACAATGATGATGATGATGATGACATGCATTATTGGATAGACTGAAAGCGAAAATTTCAAGAGATGAATGTTGGCCTTACGGAATTTGTTCTCAACATGCCTTCATCACGGAACTCATCCGCTCCTTATGCACCAGAGGTTCGTCTGTTGTATCCACCTGTTTCAAGAACTGCTGTCTTATATCACCTTTGTCTGCTTCTTTCGTTACAGTTGAATGCAAAGTGGCTTTTGCTCGGCCTCAGAACACTCTGGATCAGCCCATTCAGCTGGCCGTCTTCTTCAGGTTCGTAACAATTTTATGGCGTATTACACTAATTATGTATGATTTCCTGCATGGTGACAATAACTGTGTTGCCACCCCACTTTCTAACTTTGTATCCAAAGTGGTGTTTGCAGTCGACAGGCTCCACTTTCTCACTAAGGAAGAACCATATTTAGCTTCCGAAAGCATAAATAACATAACAATAGGGGTTGGTGTTCACTTATGGATAATCCAGTTCTCGTCACCTTCACGCGTACTCCAGATCGTACATTTGAGCGGCGAAACTGCTGACATACACAAATCGAACTTTCCGCTCAAAATATTCATGTTTTAACTATTTTCCCGACTGTCGCCATGAACATAATCCCTTTTTACATATATACACAGGTCCCACGCGCCGTTTGCGTTCAATGTTCGGCGGGTTCAAGTCGATTTTGTACACTTTGTAAGTACTACCGAAATATTTTGCGACGTCACCAAAATTTGCACAGCTGTTTGAACCCTGCATCACACTAGTTGGCCTGGTTGGTTTACCTCTCCGTCTTCTCCTAGGCGAAACCGGATGGACTGCGCTCGGACAAATGCAAACAATGGCAGTCAAGTGAGTCTTGGAACATACCGTTCCAGCTAGAACGTACAGACGTGGCGAAAGTGCTGCTGTTCTCTCTGGATGCGCACAATCTCGGGCAACGTTTGAGGGTGAGTTCCCGTTGATTTCATTACGAAACAAATATAGCTAGACCGGTCGCTGCACAAGGTAAATCCTTGGATCAAATTGTTTAGCAGTGCCCTGCAGTGCTCAGGAAACAAAAGGACCGACAAACTGCTAGGTTACCCAGTCCTGAACAGGATTTATTTTGAGAAATCATTTGCACTGCAAATCAATTTGGTTTTCACGAGAGACTCAACTGAATCTATCGTTTTTATGATATTCTACAACTGAATGTGCTGCACACAAGCCGCCTCATGATTCCGTTGGCACGATATTCGAGATATCGCAGTATACTTTCATAAAGGAAACTACTCACAAGGTTGCTGAAAACTCTTCGACAGCCCACGATCGGTTTCGCCCTTCTTGGGGACTTATTTTGCCTTACAAACCTTTTGATCAGGGGCCTGTGTCATGGCCCCCGGAACTATTCCCACTTCAGTGGTGTGACATTATTTTACTAGTATATGGGCATAGTGAGATCAGTTATTCATGAGTTAGTGAATTGCTGTTCTGCTCTTAAACTTCATCACATGTCAATTTTCTGCTTTAAAGGTGGATACGGTACGTGTTGAATTGGGACGTCCTTCAACCGATACAGACCAATTAGACCAAACGAAGGAGGTGTACTTGTCTCTGATTTGGCAGTTGTCCAATTCAACCGAAGATTCTTTAGAACCCAGCGTAGAACCGTCTGTCAAATCTCCCACACGTAAGGGGACACCAGCATCCAAATCCCATACTCCTTCATCCACTTTTGGACTCTGGAACGAGGCCAAATTGCCGTCAGCTCCGGAACGGCAGTATCAACACCAACCGGTTACGGTTATTTGCCCGAAAACAGGGGTGCCGATAGAAATTCCCGCTTTTCCACCAGCTTGGGATCTTTTGGGAAACAATATGCAAACTGAGTGAGTGCTCTCCACAGCTAGTTCTCGCCTTGCGTCCCAATTACTGCTGTGCCGTTATCACCATGTCCATCACTGAGCTGTGAAGTTGAGTATTTGAAGCATGCCATCATTGGTTCAGATAACTACAAACGGATCACGTCGTTCCTGTGATCGTTTTTTTCGAAAAAAAAAATGGTTTTTTGCGGTTGCATTGCATCTGTTTCCCTTGAGAACTCCGGTGCATCGTTCAGCCATGACACTTTCAGTGCCCAGGTGCCACGCCAACCGAAGGAAGCACGAGTTTTGAGATAACACCAGGTTGACCAAGCCTAGAGCAGTCGAGATGCAGAGATTTAGTTTGAACCGTGGGCCTCAGACTTAGCTGCTGAGCTCCGCGAGAATATTGATGAATTTCTTGGTGTTTCTCGCGCTTTCAGCATTTTTTGTTGTATCAGAGTCAATCGAATGGACCATACAGTCAACAACCCAGCTTTTCCACTTTTTCTAGGGTAACTCGGAAAACATGGTATGCGGTCTATAGACCACGTGGTGGAATGTGACAGTTCAACCTCTTTAATGAAACTGACGTTACCGCAATTCGATATTGTGGGTTACGAACAACCAGTATGCGAGCATCTTGTTCTGTGCTGTAACGCGTCCTGAATAGGTATATCAGCATGAGTTCTCCTGAGGTTGAGCGGTGTAAAGCATTCGGGTCAACTATAGCTTTATTTACTCTTAGATGGAAGACTCAGCGAACGATGCTTACCGTACACAGTGTCAGCTATTCATGGAATGTGTCAATAGGCGATACATACAACTGGTTCAAAACCTGAACGTGACCATGCCTAACCTCGGTGCTCCGACCTGTCATCCCCCTCTCACTCCATCATTCATCAGCGATCAAAACTGTGTTAGCTGGACCGAGGCTTGCGAAGTCTATGAAGCCGTGAGATACCTTGAACACCACCGGAAATCATACACACATCACACTTTTTGGTGGTCCCATTTACCTTCTAGTTTGTCGGGCAATTCAATTTCGTAGTAATAAAATCAGAAAATCCATTTCTTGAAGTGCGCTGTCCACCTTCCAGTTGCTCTCTTTGTTGATTTCCGTATGCAAGTCAGATTCATGAAGTCGGCGACAGAGTTGAATGCCGCATCTGGTTCTTCGCAAACAGGTTTTGCTATGCAGTTTGTGAGAGTTCACTTTTTCTACCATATTTGGGGCGAAATGACTCACTGATTAGAGCGGAAGGTCTGTGGTTCGAACCCGACCTCTGCCTCTCGACGTTCCCTGTCTGGGTTTGTGCAACCTTTCAGTATCCTAGCCCTCGTGTTTATTTCGGGTGGCATGGCACCGAAAGGGTACTACAGCTGAACAGTTTTTTTTTCAACCACTTTTGGCCGGGAAGTCCGATACAGATACGAACTGTTCATCTCATGAGCTGTATTCGAGGGCTGCTTAATTCGGTCTGACGTACAGTTCGTGACTCGACCGTACCCGACACACCCTGGTACTGTAAGAGAGGACGGGCAACTCTGATGTATTTCTGAGGGATGCACAGCTCCTTTAGTTCACAATGTTCATCCATTTGGTTGTTTTTGAGGGAGGATCTTACAAGGGGAGTCGCTACAACGAGTGAGTACTGGAAAATAGGCATCCAAAAAAGCAGGTTGTTTGTCGTACCACAGCGGCGTTTCGCAAGAGGCAACATATTTCCATGTTGATTGCTGATATTGGCCTTGACTTATTGGAATTCTCAATGGGTGGGAATCACCGCACATATGTTGGAAATAACCTTTATGGTATTCGTTGTCTCGTCCCCCGAGTGGCGGCTACATGACCGCTCTGAACCAATTTAGGATTTTTGTCGTACTACTGATGGTTTTATGGTAGCTTAAATTGGACGTAGTTCTCGCCAACAAGCAAGACAGCCACTGTTCAACGGTCTTACTCATGCAGTAAGCCGATTGGTTAAGTTAAAGGCTCCCGCGACCTTATTTCACCCGCCGCGTTGCTCCAAAGGCGCAAAACGAACCACCTACAGCTATGAATCAAGACTAAGTGACAAAAACAGCACCCGGTTGCCATGCGCAGAACAGCAATCAGGGAAAACACCTTCAGTCAAGTACCTTGCCAAACTACTATCCCCATTTCGATCAGCTCCGCTTCGCAAAGGTTGGTGTGGAAATAAGTCTATGCATTACGTATGAACGATCAGTCATCATACTCCGTAGTTTTACTAGATGGTTGGAGGAGTCTGTGCCAGGATTTCACCATCTGGAAGATGTGGCTTAGACAAAGACAAACAGTTCCGTCTAGGTAAACTGTAAATATCTGGCACATGGCGCTTATCCAATCGACCGGCTTCAGTTGCTAAGTACTTGAAGAAACGCTTTTTTGAAGTACCACCTGACTCACATTTTCGAACCTTTTTTTAACTGTCTCATGATTCAGTTAGTTATTTTGGTTCTATATCGTTCCAAGCTGTATCTTCTTTAATTTTCATTGTTTTTGTCACTCCAGATATCTTTAGTTTGCTGGCAAAAGTAAACCAGTCCTGGTTTTAGCCGCTGTGGGAAATGTTAGCAAATTTCTCGGTTGTTTGCTGGTATGCCCTGCAGGTAACTCTTGAACCGAAGGTTACTGGTCATCACCCGCTTAGGAATTCCACCGAGATTAGTGCAACCGTCACTCAATCGGAAGCACTCGTGAACGACCAACTGTGTCAGTTTCACACTTCTAAAATATTGGTCAATTGGAGTTCATAGTGCACCGGATTCCCGGAATCACCTTCCATGCCCCGAGAAAAATAGAATGCTGTTCGGAGAACAGACCGTCTTCATTGATGTGTGTTCCGTTTTGGGTGCTCGTGCTTCCCATCATTTGAGGTTACTGTGGATTTTTGCCGGACATCTGCCCTCTGAGATCAACTGGAACCAACATACCCTTGCTAAATGGTTCATAACTGGACCGAACTGACAACTGTTTTGGTGGAGTACAGTAAGACTGGTTGCACTAGGTACTTCTGATTTAATCTAATGAGATTTTTGTGGCGGTCTAAGTTATCCCATACCTTGATCAAGGGGTTGCCATATTCCTCCTATATGGTGGTTGTGGGCCCCATCACCCGCACGAAAAGTACAGCTTGCATTGTGAACAAAGAAAAATTTGTCGAGTGTGAATTCTTGAGTTTGCGCTATCTGTGCATACAAATGGGTATACTGTAAACCCTATTCTGAATATATGGGACATAGAACAGTCGATAGGGACTTAAATACTTTTGCCATAGACATCATTCAGAATTTCGCTTGGTTCCAGCCTGAGTTTGGTCATACTACCCCAACACACTCCTTACTATAGGACTCTTGCAGTATGCACGGTTTTATTATCGACTTTGAATGTTTCCGTTTCAACACAGGTAGAAAAACACTATTTACTGTTCGCTGTCTCCTTAGGATCCGAGAACGTGAATCGAAATTAGAGGTGAATCTAGTACACACCTCACCGGCTCTCACTCAGGAAATTTATGCGGTACAGTGTCACGTGCACAATACGGAATCGATCGAAGCCACACATGTCACGTGAGTTGAACCGTTTTGATGTGCTTTGAACCCGTTTACGAAGTTGAACTGATTGTATTCCTTGCTTGTGATCCACGAACTGTGGCGGAACCAGTGCGGATGCTCGTTTTCACAAAGAATCATTCGCTTCGTTTGTCGAATGTTGATGACATACAACTCTACGCCCTGTTTCGGTTGCCGACATACTCTCACAAGATCAGTATATTGTGTATCTCTCATCCTTCCTAATAACCACCCTTCTTCATCTGTATCGTTGGACCTCACCGGTATCGCTAGCTCGAGGTACCAACAAGGCGCACCCAAGATGAACCGTGAGTCCAAAAACCAATCAAGGGGTCTCTAGTGTACCCACAGACGTCTACAGAAAGACGCCGCTTGTGCTCCACCCCTTTGATCTTTGATCCGCCAGCGTTTTTTCTATCCAGATGAATTTAAGTGCAGGATGTATACTCACTATGTGTTCGTCGGTCATCTATTTCACCACATTTAGACGACTGGAATGATGTCCAAACGCTCTCGAAAATCCCCGGTCATTTTATTCAAGGCAATAAGCTGTGATGGATAAATACCTTTTTGCGAACTTCCGTACTCATAACCACCTTCAGATTTGCATGTGAATATAACTCCAATGGTGTTTTATCAACGTGCATTATCGCGTCCCCATTTTGTCTTGAAGGTTCCCTTACATAATTGACCGCAGATTATGATCCGTTTGCTATTATGGGAGAGTAGATCCTATTGGTAGCTCTATCGTATTCCGGTGAGTCAATTCTTTTGTCATCGCTTCGTCAAATGTAGCTCTCAGAGGTGGATCGTATCCCATACCACACCGGCAAATGAACTGTGGTAATTCAGCAGAGGGGGTTTAAACGCAAACACTGAAATCAAGGTGTAATGGACTGACTAGAAGAACACGGCTTACGAGCCAGTTCTGAGTAATTACTCTCCACACCAGGCTTGCTTGGGGTGAGATGGACCAAGTGATTAGAGCGCGAATTTACTGAGCGGAAGGTCCGTGGTTCGAACCCGACCTCTACCTCTCGACTTTCCCTGTCTAGACTTGGCCAACCTGGCAGTATCCCGGCCCTCGTGCCTCCTTCGTATGACATGGCAGCTAAGCAACGAAAGGGTGAAATGATTTTTTTTTTACATCAGGCTTGCTTTCCTACACCCCACCAAGCAACGTTCAAGATAATAGAATGAAATGAAATTAGTGCTCAACTGTAACAGCTGTAGGTTGTCTCTAGCATCGATCGAAAGAAATGTATGATTTGTGATTTGATGTTATTCATCGCCTATGGAGAGAATCCTGTAAATCACTTCCCCAGACTACCTATTGGTCACCTGGTTAAGGGCATAAAACCTGACTTGGGCTGTTTTTCGCAACCAAACACGTTCCTCGTATTTGGAAAGCGCCTCATGGTATGCTCCAGGCAAACAACCCGAACTCAGCTGATCGTTTCAGTGCAGGTATGGCGAAGAATCTGTCTGACTAAAAGTTGTCTACAGAGCATTTCCAGACTGCTTATCGAAACAGTATACTGTGCTCTCCTTCTTACTTTGACTGCGTTTTCTAGTCTCTTTTATCTGCAGCCTCCCGTGCGTGTTGCTTGCTACTGCACTGCACACATATGCTTGCTTCCAAGGCTCTCTGAAACTTCTGTTTCATTTCCTGTTAGCCTATCTGTCAGTTTGACTAGGCAGCCCGCCATCCATTCTTCGGAGGACACCTCTGTCGGGGACTCTGTGCATCGGGAATTGCGCCCTCGAGGATTGAAAGAACCGGACCAGATCAGTATTAACGATCCTACTCCGTTGGAAAGTCACAAGCGCTCAGGTGCCAATATCGGTACGTCTACAACCCAGTTGTCTGATTTGGCTCCGAACGAACACACAACCTGTACCCTGTTCCTACGCTGTGCCAATGCGGGTCCACGCAGTCTTCGGTGTCAACTGAACTACCGAACTAGTTTACTGATTCCATCTGTTCCACACTGCCTACTCACTCTTTCTCCCTCTCTGGATCAAGACGTCGCATGTAGCATCCGTCTCCAAGCGACTGATGATCAATCTTCCTCGGACTCAAAGGCCGATCGATTCGAAAGTCAATGTGCCAAGGTTGCTATGACTGAAATCAACGTATCCAATCCGTTCCGGTCCACACCCCAGTTGTCTGATTTGACTCCGAACGAACACACAACCTGTCCCCTATTCCTACGCTGTGCCAATGCGGGTCCACGCAGTCTTCGGTGTCAACTGAACTACCGAACTAGTTTACTGATCCCATCTGTTCCACACTGCCTACTCACTCTTTCTCCCTCTCTGGATCAAGACGTCGCATGTAGCGTCCGTCTCCAAGCGACTGATGATCAATCTTCCTCGGACTCAAAGGCCGATCGATTCGAAAGTCAATGTGCCAAGGTTGCTATGACTGAAATCAACGTATCCAATCCGTTCCGCCTCACCTGGCAAACATTGTCCATTCTCGTAAGTGTGCTTTATGCTGTCTTGTGCTTAGTTCAGTTCAGCTTAAAGACTGAACCGTATCCGGGCCACTACATCTTATGACCACCGGTGGTATGGGATTGAGAAGTACAGGGAAGCCCCTAAAATAGAAGAAAAAAGTTGTGTCGCTCCGAGCTGAAACATCCTCTCATGTGAATATACACTAAGTACTGAGGGAATTTCGAAGTTCCAAGTGTGAATTCCGTTGGTTGTAGATAAGGTGGCTGTTGGTCTGTTTGCCGAGCTTGTCAATTTGCTTGCAAACGTTTCATTTCCAACCTCGGAGTACTCATCAGTGAGCGTATCGATGATATCTGCACGATCGGTGACGAAATGAACAACAGCCACCTGATCTACAATCAACTAACGTACTTGAACTACCAATGTTTCGATCCATTTTCAGCGAATTCCGTCCCCGATCAAAAGTTCCAATTGTCCTCGCCCATACCAACTTAACTTACTGAAAAAGGAAGCCCCCCAACTTATTAACACGTCATGCAACGCATGTGTTCGCTGAATTTGTGGAAGTTTCAGTTTGGCACTGGCAGAACTATTGAAGTGTCATGTTAAGTCTGCGGAGCGCTTTCGATCGTTCAACTGATGCAATCGATAGCTGCCTTCAATCTGCACTTGATATGCAGCGGCATTCCAGAGCACGCTTTCAGTGTTTTCGCTCGGGCCGATTACTCATACATGAGTAGTATTCTCCGCATTCGCGTCACATGAGAAACAAGCCGAGTATCTCAATTCTCATTTTGTTCACAAACATGGTCGAATAATCATCGGATGCATTGAACGGAAACTGCTTGGGCCGAAAATGTTTGTGAACGCGAGAACGAGAGTTTACGGCAAACCCCACGGTGGTCCAAAACAAAAGTTGTTGAGCGTCATACCTTACCGGACAGCAAGCTTCCCAGCTTAGGAAAATGATCTTTCAGTTAGCGATTGAGCGTCACGCTCGTCCAGCAACTACCCTAAACTGCTGGTTGGGACAAGCGAGTTCAAGAGAACCTTCTCAATGCATGTTAAGCACATAATCAAGTAAACAGAAGCTCATCTACCATACAATTACGAGTGATGCTCAAAATCCTATCTGGATGGTCTAGACTGATGGCTACTTTGTTGTGGCAATGATATTGTCCCGGCGTGTTTGAATTTTTGTTTGTTTTCGGATTTCCGGGTTCAATTTCATGGTAATTTACTTATGCGGAACCGAGTTTTTTCCGACCTCACCTCCTGGAAGGTCAAGGAGAGTAAATTAGATTAGAGGGAACCATGCTACAATTAAGACCGCTCTCGAAGAGCAGGTAGTTGTCAGTCTAGGATACTGCGAACCGAGTGTATTTACTTGGGAGGGGAGCTATGCATTGTAGGCAATAGCTTGGATGCATGAGCGCCATTGAGAGCGCGACCGGGCCACGTCTGGCAATGTCTCCAATCATTGAAGTGGCCCATCTCGAAGCCCCCATCCAGGAAGACGGCAATGACCAGCGCTGCTGAGTTTGCTGGTACTGGCTTTTATACTTCGCTGCCGCCTCTGGCTTTCTTCTACCCTTCATGTGGTTGTGTGAAAGGTGCTCTTCGAGGAATTCGGTCGACTGGCGTGCACGGCACGTGGCTAAGCCAGCGCAACCTGTGCAGTGTGGTCAGTCCATCCATCGAGGAATTCTCCTAGCTAGTTCAGTTTATCAGCTTTAAACCGTTTACCAAGGACACGTTGATTCCAGCTGATACAGTTCTTGTCATCAGAAAGTGAGAAAGCGTAGAAAATGCAGAAAAATTGTGCGTGAAGTCGTAGAGCTTCTTCTTTGGATCGCTTACTGTAATCCAGAAGTGGTCTGATCAGCTTGACATTAATAAAAGGAAAGTATTCTATCTTCCTGAGGCATTGCGTGCTTGGAAAGGCCTTACTACCGCTCTGGATACGTGGAATTTTCCGCGCACCAAGTTGAAGTCGATTTGAATAGTTGTCGTGAGTGATGTTTGCTGAAAACCTAAGGGAAACAGCTGAAATAGGTGGCTTAGTGACGGTCTTCGGCCGCTCTACCATTGGAAATCTAAGCGCCGAATAACCAGATGTAAAAACTCGCATCTTCCATTGGGAAGCGGTTACACCAAACTGAGTCAGATGGGTTAGGAGGCCTAGGTTTGAAATTGCCTGGTCCACCCATACTTTTGAAATAACCGATGACACAAAACTGAGTCAGATGGGTTAGGAGGTCTAGGTTTGAAATTGCCTGGTCCACTCATACTTTTGAAATAACCGATGGAAGGGGAATGTATATGGATTATTGTTAACTACTTCGAATTAATTTAAACTTTGGATAGCTTATACTAATATCATCTCCCGAGAGTGAACGTGTGCACCCAGATGCGTCCATTAGGTGGTAATGACAACACGCTGACCTCCCGCGCCAGATATCCGGAGTACAAGTCCCCCCCGCACGGCCAAGGGTACGCATGCGCGATCAAACAAGCCGGGTACAGAGTTGACGTAGGCTAACCAAAATTACTGTGTTGGGAAGAGAACTGCTCAAATAAGTTCAACTAACACGGCAACTCCAACAGGTTATTAGCATATTGCGCTGCTGAGTTTGCTGGTACTGGCTTTTATACTTCGCTGCCGCCTCTGGCTTTCTTCTACCCTTCATGTGGTTGTGTGAAAGGTGCTCTTCGAGGAATTCGGTCGACTGGCGTGCACGGCACGTGGCTAAGCCAGCGCAACCTGTGCAGTGTGGTCAGTCCATCCATCGAGGAATTCTCCTAGCTAGTTCAGTTTATCAGCTTTAAACCGTTTACCAAGGACACGTTGATTCCAGCTGATGCAGTTCTTGTCATCAGAAAGTGAGAGAGCGTAGAAAATGCAGAAAAATTGTGCGTGAAGTCGTAGAGCTTCTTCTTTGGATCGCTCACTGTAATCCAGAAGTGGTCTGATCAGCTTGACATTAATAAAAGGAAAGTATTCTATCTTCCTGAGGCATTGCGTGCTTGGAAAGGCCTTACTACCGCTCTGGATACGTGGAATTTTCCGCGCACCAAGTTGAAGTCGATTTGAATAGTTGTCGTGAGTGATGTTTGCTGAAAACCTAAGGGAAACAGCTGAAATAGGTGGCTTAGTGACGGTCTTCGGCCGCTCTACCATTGGAAATCTAAGCGCCGAATAAGCAGATGTAAAAACTCGTATCTTCCATTGGGAAGCGGTTACACAAAACTGAGTCAGATGGGTTAGGAGGCCTAGGTTTGAAATTGCCTGGTCCACTCATACTTTTGAAATAACCGATGGAAGGGGAATGTATATGGATTATTGTTAACTACTTCGAATTAATTTAAACTTTGGATAGCTTATACTAATATCATCTCCCGAGAGTGAACGTGTGCACCCAGATGCGTCCATTAGGTGGTAATGACAACACGCTGACCTCCCGCGCCAGATATCCGGAGTACAAGTCCCCCCCGCACGGCCAAGGGTACGCATGCGCGATCAAACAAGCCGGGTACAGAGTTGACGTAGGCTAACCAAAATTACTGTGTTGGGAAGAGAACTGCTCAAATAAGTTCAACTAACACGGCAACTCCAACAGGTTATTAGCATATTCCTAGAGCGCAACACGCAGTCTATCTGGCTTTATCCCAAGTAAATTTACTTGAATGACCGTACTTCACTTACTTTTTGTCTCCAATAACGTTGGCGCCTCTTCATGTCCCCCGGTTTGATTTATTCCGGTCATTCTCTCTCTCGCCCATTCGTTAAAGCAAGCACCCATCTCGGACCTCATCGTCGGCGAGGACTTTATACTCCAGCTCCACTTGACAAACAGTTCACCCTGGGATTTGGAAGTTCTCAGTACGCGATTCAAACTGGTTAGTTCTTACTATGTTTGTCTTTTGGTTGCACGTGACCAGAACTGTCTTAGGTAGCCATCGATCAACTTGCCTCTATCTCTCTTTTAGTCCGACACTGTTGTATTTTCGGACGGTAATCAAGATGTTCAAATCAAAGATCGTAAGTATGCCACTCATGTTCTTTTCTTACCTCTGCCCCCAGGTGATTCGAAATTTTACTCTATTTATCGTGATACTGTGTGTTTCGATTTATTGTGATGTGCTACGCATAAGGCAGCGTCGATTCACCGTCCCTGACCATTCCAAATAACCAATCGTTCATGTTTTTTCTCCAAAACTCGCTGGTACCTTTCCGCGGAATTCCCATGCTTTCTGGTAGTCACTCATTCTCGCTATTTCCTTCCCCCGTCTTTTTTGTCAAGTGTGTGTTCAGGCCGAGTGCCGAGTCACTGAATGTCAGATCCTGACAGTCAGTCGACTGGACCAAGAAAACGGAGTAGTCAATCTTGGACAATATGAAGTATCTTGGAGACGGTAGGTCTTGTAGACTTGTTTGTTCATTAGGGTCTGTAATTTATTTCACTCGCTTCTGCTGATATGGCTGTCTTGTAGAGTCCTCCTTGCCAATCTATTTTCTATTTTCGATGTGGGCAATAGCAAAACCCCCCTTAAAATGTCCGACTTCCGGTTAACCACTTACACTTGGAATATGAGCTAAACTTCCAGCTATTTCTTATCAGCTGAATAGTACAGTACTCTTCTTGATGCGCGATCAACCTCATTCTCTGAATACCTTTCTGATTCTTCTTCTGTTCAGTAAATCGACGACCGAAAACTCCAATTCCGCGCTGGTATTGACCACCAGCTTTGATCTGTTCTCTTGCACTGTCCTCGAACTCCCCGTGCGGGTACGGGCTGATATCCCTACGATAGGCACAGTCCTCACTCCGTTGCCTGTTTTCTTCGTGCTTGAAAACCAAACAATTTATCCACAGGTAAGTTGGATAAACATTTCTTGTTGCGGTCTTCTCCGGTGAGTCGACCGCACACGCACAATACTCGCTTTCCATAACAACGTGGAAAAATCATCAAGCGACGAAAAGCTCAGCACTTGCAAGAGCCGTACAAAGCCACTTCTGTTAACATAACAAACACATTCTTCAGTTAGGGTGACTTCGGTATCAACTGACCTTGAGGACCCTACCGGTTGCCTCACCGTGCGATTTACTTTCATGAGTTATTGTACTACTCGTTTAAGATCAAGTAGTCAGTTTTTATACATTCGTTTTAGACAGCCCCTCGGCGGTTTGGTGGTTGTGTCGCCTAACCCTCACGTTCAAGCACTATCATAAATCACCTATAGTATACGCGCATCACCTCAGACAGAATATTCTATGGCGCAATGCGACGTCAAAGATTTTACTGGTCTCAGCAACACAATCCATGGGAAGATCGTAGGCTCACTTTCCCCCATCACTTGCGCTGCTTCCGAGGGGCGTCGTCAAGATCCGGAATACCGGCCAAGGATTCACATTGTTGAAATCACTTGCAAGAGCCGTACAAAGCCACTTCTGTTAACATAACAAACACATTCTTCAGTTAGGGTGACTTCGGTATCAACTGACCTTGAGGACCCTACCGGTTGCCTCACCGTGCGATTTACTTTCATGAGTTATTGTACTACTCGTTTAAGATCAAGTAGTCAGTTTTTATACATTCGTTTTAGACAGCCCCTCGGCGGTTTGGTGGTTGTGTCGCCTAACCCTCACGTTCAAGCACTATCATAAATCACCTATAGTATACGCGCATCACCTCAGACAGAATATTCTATGGCGCAATGCGACGTCAAAGATTTTACTGGTCTCAGCAACACAATCCATGGGAAGATCGTAGGCTCACTTTCCCCCATCACTTGCGCTGCTTCCGAGGGGCGTCGTCAAGATCCGGAATACCGGCCAAGGATTCACAGCATTTGTTGAAATGAATCACACAAGTGCCCTTGGAGGGGATGAGGTCATTTTCGATGCCATTTAATAACAGATTGCTAGGCTCCTTTCCTAAGTTCATTTGGATTTGAAAATTCTACCAATGAAACAGACGTTTTCAAGCTTATCTCCTGGTTTGTCCTATTGCTATCGAACTATTCATTCAGCCTCAACTCTTTCTCCACCTTTCCCAGGAAGTCCTCATTCAGCTGGAACCTTCTCCGAGTTTCATGTTCTCCGGCCAGCACAAACTACGTCTGCGTGTTCTCCCCGGTTCTCCCCAATTCTTACGTTACTTATTTCTCCCCTTATTTACTGGTTATCTTGTTATCCCACGGTAAGGTTTTGCTAAACTCACATGCTTGAGATATTCACACGTGAAACGCGCAATGCGACGTCAAAGATTTCACTGGTCTCAACAACACAATCCATGGGAAGATCGTAGGCTCACTTTCCCCCATCACTTGCGCTGCTTCCGAGGGGCGTCGTCAAGATCCGGAATACCGGCCAAGGATTCACAGCATTTGTTGAAATGAATCACACAAGTGCCCTTGGAGGGGATGAGGTCATTTTCGATGCCATTTAATAACAGATTGCTAGGCTCCTTTCCTAAGTTCATTTGGATTTGAAAATTCTACCAATGAAACAGACGTTTTCAAGCTTATCTCCTGGTTTGTCCTATTGCTATCGAACTATTCATTCAGCCTCAACTCTTTCTCCACCTTTCCCAGGAAGTCCTCATTCAGCTGGAACCTTCTCCGAGTTTCATGTTCTCCGGCCAGCACAAACTACGTCTGCGTGTTCTCCCCGGTTCTCCCCAATTCTTACGTTACTTATTTCTCCCCTTATTTACTGGTTATCTTGTTATCCCACGGTAAGGTTTTGCTAAACTCACATGCTTGAGATATTCATCTTTCACGTGAAACCTATTGTCAATGTTTTTAGCTTTACACCAATTTGTACTTAGGCAATGCAGTTATGGTAACATTCGCACTTTCGGCTCCTTTTTTACACTTTAATCAAACCACGTAAAATGGCCGAAATTTGGTACCGTATGACTCATTTTGCATTGCATACATGGGCCTAATGTATTGTCCTGTAGTCAGTAAAGTGTCCACCTCAGTGTATCTCTTTCTTGGCTCTTGTTTCATGGTATTTCAGCTCGAGGCGGTTCTATTAGAGTTGTTCGAGCCCAACCCCGACATCTCGACTGTTCGGATCTAGGCTCAAGCAACCTGGCTTCATCTCGTGCTCTGTTCGGATGACATTGCAACTAGGCACCGAAAGAATATTGCAGCTGGATGATATTATTTACCCCCCCCCCTTCTGCTCACTTCTATGTCCTGGTTTCACACACCGAATGATCAGATAATTACTAGAAGAAATGACGACTGGAAACCACCAGCAGTGGTTGCTATAGAAACCGCCAATGTTGTGTTAGTATGATAGCCTCCAGACTTTGTGTTTTCATTTGATGAAAATGTCGCTCATTCTTCTTGGGACCGTATGTGTCTGCAGACCTCCCGTTCACAAATTCGCTCCTTCGTTTCTGGCTAATTATTGGACTGCACTGTGCGGACTGTGTAGGACGAACAGTTGCGTGAACGGCCGTTGAATTAGACGTTGACTTGATTCACTTTGAGGAAAAGCAGAAGAATATGCTAGAAACTCGTTGGCGTATATATCAATGACCCTTTCGAAGTAAGCACGAAGTTGAGGTACTACCAGATCGTGCGAGCTCAGGTAGGACCCAGGGTTGGATTCGAACTCTAGTCTTACGGCCATTATTTCCACCTCTTAGCTACTGAACTCTTTCGATTTGTCGCTCGTTTGCGTCCCAATGGATTATTGTCCTCCGTGTAATTATTTTCGCCAACAGTGTAGGGCTTACATTTTCTCACACTTACGATTTCGTGATTTAATGTTGCTGCTGAAAACTCACTGTGATCCAGAGTTGCAACGCCTTTTTACAGTTTACTTCGTTGAGTAACTCTCCTTACATCTATTCATACACACGGTTCTTCAATAGAGAAGACTGCCTGTGGTGTTGCTGAGCTTACTTACACGAACTTTGTAGTGGTGAGCTATGTTCAGATAGTCTGCTTGTTCAGGTAACCACCGTAAAAAAACCCACCAACTTTTGGTGACTCATCAGCATCATATTCTGTTCCGTGTGAAGCCAGTGTTTTTAATGAGTTGTGTACCTACGCTAGGCCGCATCTCTTAGCAAGCGTAGAATCTCTTTGGGTAGCACTGAGTTTCCTGTGCAATCAACATGAATGAACATGTCTGTGGATCTGGTACTACAAGCCTGACGTAATGTGAGCCACAATGAGGGTATGTACTGCGACTGTACACAAGTTAGTCTGCCCCCACGTTCCATAGTGATCAGGCATATTCGGTCGTATTGATGGGACCGGTCTTTACAACAACAGTTGCCCTTGTGGTCTTTTCAGCTAGGGTGCAATTGCATCCCCAAGGTGAGGCCAATCACATAACTTTTCTGTGATGGTCTTTCGAAGGAGAAGAGTCACTTTAATCCACCAAAACGTCTTTTAGCCGTGCTTTACGCTCTCCAGTGATTTTGATTAACGAGACAGCATCCCATGACATGGCCTGCCGTTGTCCTGTTCCAAATCGTTCGAACTGTTCTTTGTTCCGTGTCCTCTCACAGCCTACGTATCACTCTCACGCGAGTGGACGGTTCCGGTCCTGGGGATGAACAAACTTTGAAGCTTCACATGGAAGAACGGATGCTTCGGCAAATACCGACTCATGTGTTCGTTGTAGTAAGTCTCCCTCAGTTTTTGGCCCCTTGCTATTGACCCAATTCGTGATTTATTTTGAGCTGACTGCCTCTCATGGACTGCTAGCTTTGGACGCTTATCTTCTGCGGGTTCTTTAAGATAGTGTAGGCAATGAACGCCATCAATTTACTAGATTTCTTGTTCGGTCATTGTGCATCAACTTTTGTCAGTACCCGAAACCTATTTCTCTTCCAATCGTACTTAGAGTCTGGTAGCCGAGCTCCACTATGATGCATCTGTTGACCACTTGCTCTTCTACGGAAATCGAATCAGTGCCACCATTAAAGGTTTCTCAAATCTTGAATTCGATTCATTCAGTGACATGACTAGACTACAAAATCTACCCCCGTCTTATCTGCCAACCTAGTACCGTTTATTGCCAAAAAGCCTCAAATTTTTACCTTTCGAAAGCCCTACTTTTGAAGAAGCACCATAACTAAGCCTTGCTTATTTGTTCGTTTTTCGCCGCCCACTTTTAGCCTCTGTAACCTTCATGTTCCGTATCCTTCCTGCTTCACAGCCATCAGAAACAACTTCCGCGCCCCAAGCTGCGCCAAACCTGCTCGGTGACCAACCTGTTCCTGTCACTTAAACCGCCCGGTGCACCTTGACAAAACGTACCATTCACGTACTGGGCACTCAAAACCTCAGTCCGGTGCTCCAGCATTCTCTCCACTTACTTGTCTCTTTTTTAAAATGACCTGTGTCAGCTTCTTACTTAAATGCCTCCCTAGACGACAGTTTTCGTCTTATCATCTTCTCGAATCCGCCAGAAATCTTGCTTCTTTCTTGCACTTTCTGTGATCTGTTTTACAACATACACACTGGCAGGCTTAATTGGGCTCGGCTAATAAAGACATTCTGTGTTTCTACCATCGATTGTTTGACACACTTGAAATTGCAGTTCGTAATCCGCTTGCAGACTCCAAATGCAATTTGATTCAAGGGATATTAGCGAGAGTGAAGCAAGCCGCCAAACAATAGCTGGCAACCACGTCAGGGGAAGACGAACGAGGCCGGGTTGTGAAGCAGCAGGGACAATATATGTAGGGTTTGGGGACACAAATTGGTTAAAAATCCCTTTTAGTCTGGCTAAAAACTTGCCTTCTTCTCCTGGAATACAGTACCTTCTTCGTGTTATTCTTCTTTTTCGATTTGTCCAGTTACCTCGAGAAAATTTCCAGATAATGGTCGTGAACATAATGAACAGGGCTTGTATGTCATAGTTGGACAAGCACGATCAGTTCGTTGGTGTGAGTACAGTCCGCTCACTGTGGTGCAGACGCTTCGCCACTGATCGAGTGGACATTGTCGGTGCGTTGTGGTTTAGCGGTACGTCCTGAATGAGCAGTACGTCGTGGTATATAGACGTTCGGTGGTGCTTCACTCGTGTACACACACCGAAAGCGCCGCTTCTCCACTACGCTCTGGTGATGTCACCTTGATTGGGGACACAACGTTTTCAACGAGATCGCTAGGCCCAGCAACCAGTTCGAAACCTGTGTTACCAATTCGTTCCTCGATATCAAGTGATCAGGCCGTTTCGTATTGCAACCTTTCCATGCTCGTACCTTTTCTTTCCAGCAATTGTAATGAAAACGTGCCGTGTTCAGCCTTTACTGTGGTTTGACCTCGGGATTTTCGCTAAGTAGTTTTGCTCTTAAAAGTTCAGTGAATCAGCTCCCGTCATAACCAGCCAACCGTCTTCTCTCGGCTCTACTTGTTTGACTGGTGTTCATTGCAGATAGTATACGTGAATCCCTCATAGAAAGGCCATATTGAGAGGTAGGTAGGTATTCGATATCTCTTACACGTACTTCACACGAGATGCTGGCTTACGGATAAAGCCGTTATGAACTCTTCAGCGATGCTCCTTTAGGGGTTATATATATATATAT